GGTCTTTTTAGGCCAAACGATTTGTCAAAATCCCGAGTGGCTTCGTATAGCCACCGATTATACAACAAATTCATTTAGAGCAGCAGAGGAGCTCCCAGACTGGCCAGGCGTTCTCCACCCAATTTTAGTCCTCGTTTTGGACTCTACCAGGAAAATGCAACGAGATCTCCAAGGGGCGCGGGATATCATTGAGCCGGTCTTGAAAGAGAGGCAAAAAAGTCGAGAAGCCGCCAGACTGGAGGGGAGACCACCGCCAGTATATAATGACGCTTTAGAGTGGATGGAGCAGTCATCTAAAGGAGAGCCCTATGATCCCACAGCAGCTCAGTTGCTCCTATCTACTTTTTCCCTACACACCACAGCGGATATGATCACGCAGGCAGTTTTTGATCTTTGTGGCAAGGAAGACCTAATCTATGAACTAAGAAAGGAAGTGGTCACGGTGCTTTCTCAGGAAGGATGGAAGAAAACTTCACTTAACAAGCTACATTTGATGGATAGCTTCTTAAAGGAATCTCAACGATTAAAGCCATTAAATATTGGTGAGAACCCTCCCATCGCTTGAAGCAATCACAAATACTTATTCTTTTAGCCACATTGAGACGAATTGCGGAAGAAGACGTTGAACTTAGTGATGGAACAAAGATTGCCAAGGGGACGTCACTTTTCGTTCCTACTGATTGGATGCGGGACGCGAATTTTTACGAGAACCCGGAAACGTTTGATGCCTACCGGTTCTTAAAGCAGCGCCAAATATCTGGGGGTGAAACTCGTGCACAGCTGATAGTGCCTGCAGCTGAGCATATGGGATTTGGTCTTGGAATTCACGCATGCCCCGGTCGATTCATGGCTTCTAACAGTATTAAGATTGCACTGTGTCATATTCTGGTGAAGTATGACTTTAACCTACCTGAAGGCTCAGTTCCTAAACAAAGAAGACATGGAGGCATTCTTCAAGCGGATCCTGAGGCTGAGATCATGGTTCGTCGGCGCCAGGAGGAAATCAATTTGGATATTTGCAATATTCCTTAGTGCGATTGCAATGGGGTTCCTCTCCATTCAAAGGAATTCGGGAGTGTATAACCCTAGTCACCCAAGAGAGGTACCTAGGCATAAATCCCTGACTGCGGCCCCCTGTACCTGATTCTTTCAAGATTCAGTCTTGTACCAAAACAGACAATATCATGGTTCCTCGCCGCCCCTTCAGTACCTTATCTAGTCCGTATCTTTACCGGGTTGAGAGACCTTATGCCTCACAACTATAACCCTTATATGGCCATGTAGGATGGCGTTTAGCAAGTAACATTTGTCCACTTGTTCAATGGCAAAGATGATAGGTAGATGTGGAGTTTGTTGTCCTCACCCCATGTATAAGCTGGTCAATTTGAAATTGCGTATATTGTAATGGCAATAAAATGCAGCGGGCAGTCCTATTAAGGCCCCTGTGCCCCAGGGTAGACTGAAACAAAGCGGCAGTACTGGATAATGCCAATAGTAAGACCTAGTGATTGACTGTCTCGCACGAGGAAAGGAGGAAGAGAAGGAGAGGAGAGAGAGTATCATACATGGAGGTTCTATCACATGCCATAGTGATGGCTCAGGCATCCAACAATTTTTTATCGGAGGTACTGAAGTACATTTCCACGCCAATAGTTATGTTGGGGGTCAGCTGACCCACCTATGGGATAGGATCGTAGGATAGATAGTTTGCTCTCTCTCCTCTCCCTTCTTCCTTTCCCTGTTTGTCATGACTGTCACATAGTCTCCTCTCTCTCTTCTTCTTCTTTTCCCCTTCTTAATCATCCGCAATCATCGGTGATCATCATCAGCAGTTAGCACAAATACAGTTGCATTGATGATCTCCCTTCTCCTATGGGCTATAAGCCTTCGCTCGTTCCGAGGGCGCCTTTTTCATTGGTTTTTATCAAGTTGCGGTAGTTAGCCTAACGCACCCGGATTACCCTGAGAGCTTAGGGGAAGAGCACTAACAAACTTCGCGCACGATCGCGCATTTTTCGACGATTTTACGGGACACCCTTCGGCCCGTCCCGCAACCCTATATCGATCATCGAGGACATCAACCCCCGAGATCACCATTTTCAACAAAAGATCATTAAGACCATCGTCTTTTAAGGTCTTCATTCTCCAGTCTTTGTTACCTCGCCAGTATGCGACAGTGAAAACTCTACCCGACGCGACCGAGATTGGACCGCACATCTATTTTCTCGAGACTTAGCAACGGATCTCGATATAACAACAGTCAAGATGACTGGTTTCGACAGCAAAGCTAGCGAGCTCACCGTACATCTTTCGAAGTGTTTACGCTACCGAGCGTAACTTCCAAGCCGTCAGTTTCGACGTACCGCGATTCGGAACAACAGCCAGAGCAAGAGCGAGGGCCAGGCCAGAGGTGGAGCAAGTCCTAAAGTGAGTGCCGCCTAGTGTCAGTGCTAGTACCAATGCCAGTGCTAGTATTAGTTAGTTACACATTACGAAAAGGGGTTTTTCTAACGTTATTTGAGACGGTTCTCATAGGATTAAAATGGAGGGGGCATGCAGCAGAAAAAAGATCAAAATATATATCTCCTTGGGCATTTTGATATTATTCTCATGTAAGTTTAGGATTGAGCACTAGAGAATTCAAGTTGGGATGTTCTGTTGACCGGGTTAGGCTGGCGGCCTAACCAACCGGTTGCAGGATAAATAAGTTGGACATTGGTGCATAGCCAACAATCAATTCCAAGTATGATATCAGATGTAATGCAAACATTGAATTTATATGCATGTATGACAAACCCCAGCCAGCCTTCACATCATCCCCTGGCTATATGCATATGCAACGATACCTAAGTGGTGAAGTATGACAAAACAGAACCAGACATTTATATACAGTTTGAAGGTACTCAAGGTATTTGTGAACTTAATACATCAGGCTATCGATGTACGGAGCACTCTAGATAACTATGAATAGAGTTTGAGACAATTGGTGTGTCATATGCGGCTATTCTCACCTGTGGAATGCGCAAGTTGAGCAGTAAGGATAGTAACGTATGGTGGTAACACAACATTGTCCGTTACGAAGCCTGGGGCGATCTATATGTGTTTTTGGGTCAAATTTAAGATATGTGAACTATAAAGACGCGTTAGATCATCCATCAATCAGGCTTTGAAATCCTTTTACTTAGATCAAAGTCAACGTATAAAATCTTGCTCCAAAATGGCAGGTGAATACGATCCCACGTATGTCCAATCCACAATAAAACGACCAATGGAATGACTAACATTGAGAAAATCAACAAGTCGCCCCAGAGAGGATTCCAAAGTCAAGTATTCATACAAGCTACCCGATGTCCCCGGCAAGACCGTCGTTGGTATTTACACTATACTCCCAGCAAACGGCGCAACTCCACCTCACACACACAAAAATGCCTCTATCACCTCATTTGTCATCAGCGGTACTTATCGAGGCGCATTGAACAATGGCGAGCCGTTTATAATCCATGCAGGCGAGGCCTGGTTTGAGGTTCCACAAGACCATGTCACGCTCAGCGAAAACCCGAGCAAAACGGAGCCAGCTATTTTCCTCTCTACAGTTGTTATAGATTCGGACCTTTATGACGAGCAGGGGAATGATGCACTCTACAAGATTGATCCACCATACAATTGAGGTTGGGATGGGAGTTAGCTCTAGATCTCTTACGTGCGGAAGAACCATTTAAGAGCTTCAAAATTTCCAAATTTGTAGCTTTCATTGTACGTGGGATACATTCATCTAGGCAATACTATTTAGTATGGTTTTAGGGCTAGTCCTCTTACATTGGTAATATGGTATACAGTGTTAGGAATTTCTGACCTGCCTCCACCTGGGGTTCTGCCTCCAGCCTGTTGATGAACGTTCGCTCCTTAAGATAGTGCCATAATATATCATCCTACACCTCTACCATCTGACCCCTATATAATACCTTGGTCTGCTGGGATCTATCTACTGTGTGTGTGGTTTTCGAAGGTTGGTTAGTATGGTTATATCCGTTGGACTGACCTTTGTACCGCTGGGTGCTGTAACCTACAAATATCCAACTATCCAATAGCTCGATATACTATTCAATATTGTCATGTAGGGTGAATGTTACTCGAAATATCACCCTGCAAGTAGTTTGGTATGTCGAACTAACTACCACATATAGAAATTACTTCGAATGCTATCGTCAATCTCCGTTCTTGTTCAGTTGTGTCAACTTGTGTGACCTATGAGAGATTGTGTAGCAGATCAAATAAGCTTAATTGTAATTTCATTAATGAGGTAGAAATGATCAACTTTGATGAGTCGGCTAAGCTCCCTTGTTAGTCTGAAGTACTATCATCACATGGTATCTAAGGGCCCCAATGAGCTCGTACTGGACAACAGCCGCAGCTATACAGTTGGGACAATGGATTCTGTTGTGATGGAGGCCTTAGGCCGTCAATTTAGTGCCTCAGGCATCATCCCCTCAGCAGGTAATTAGTCGGCAGATGGTACCGTAGCAATCGACTTTCCAAACTTCCCAGGCCCTACGTATGGTAGACGCCACAACAGATTCTTACCTTCTCGTGGTAACCGGTGTAAATCCTTGTTGGGAAGACAAAAGTGAACCTTGGAACCCGCCGAGGTTGTGCGGTCCGGCCCGGTCCGGTCGGCGCGAGGCACGACCGCACCAAAACCTTGGAATCAGGGATACCTAGGTAGGTATGGATATGAAAACCACCCGACATCATTTTACCTAACTCGCACGCAGGCTCAAAAGGTGGTCTTGCAATGCCAGTGAAAGTGATGTCGCCCTTAAAAAGAAGATAGGATTGAGCTAGCATACGATCTGATATCGCCTCCTGCAAGATGCAACGAGGCGGTAGTGAACCGGTGACACAGGCAGTCAAGCTGACTTTGCACAGACCTCGTCTAAGGCCCGAAGACATCGTTAAGACTCGAACTCGTCACTTTGAGACATGCTGCACTGCGGACCTCGCTAAGGCTCGGCCACATGCAACTCGGGGTGCAGCTGTGCATCGAGACACGGGCATCCTCCTGGGATATACACAGTCAATATTGAAGAAATTGGTATTTGGCTGGTGGCCACCGACGGACCTTGTTGCAGCTTTGCCACGGGCAACCCGTCGATCCAGTTTAGACATTGGGGACCAAGCTTGGTTAGTGGAGACACTGGAGAGCGACCAACATGCACTGCCGGATGGGGGTATGTGAGGGCTTTCTGCAAGACAAGGTCGGCTTGGAGGAGTGTGGGCCCTTGCGTGGCGTGGTATAGAATGGCAGCATTGATCGAAGTACCTGTCATCTTGTGGGTGCTGAGTCAATTGTTTAACGCGTCCGTCCGCGTCGGCTAAAAATCAACACACTTTCAACGTTTAATCATGGTTGTCCTCAGAAAGCAGGGCAAAATAGACTACCAACTCACAAAGCCTTATCGACCCGTAGCGTTGCTGAATTCCCTCGGCAAGTTCCTGGAGGTAGTGCTCGCCCGAAGAATCTAGCTACGCTGTGGAAACCGAGGGGTTGCTTTCAAAGGCCCACCTTGGCGGTCGACGAGCATCTCGACTGACCACGCGTTCACCGCATGATCGACTGAATCAACACTGGGAAAGGTAACCTGGTGGAGGTCACTGCTGATGCCGGATGTATCAGGAATATACGAGAATGTCTCTCACACCTGCCTGCGTCATAAGAATTTCAGTCAAATGATAGCGATTATCACACAATCGAATATATTATTGTCTGGTAAATTTCTAAGATAATCCCCATTTATATATTAAATACGGAAACCCTGTATGGCTAGTAAACTGTTAGCTACGCAGGTTAATAAAGCGCCAACAACCACCTCAACAAGAGTATTGCCTATAAATCGATAGCCTCAGCTGTTGACTACGTGTAGGAGCACAATCGGAGAGGGATAGGATTGTGCATTCCCAATATGCGTCTAGCTGCGTACTGAATGGACTGCCCAACCATGTAACTAGGAAGCATAGTTAACATCCCCCACTACAATACATGTACAAAAGTACGTGGGCGGTGAAGTATAGTAAATATCTTAGAATCAGATGATTAGCTGTGCTGGCGTTGAAAGTGTTTGGTCAACTAATTGTATAAGATATGACGACATTATGGTAGCACTGCATAGTAATATGACTAGATTATGGCAGCACTGCATGTGAGATCAAGTCTCTAGTCTTCGAATTTGGGAGACTGCGCATTTAGCGTTTTATGAAGGTCAAAGTGGAGATGCTGTAACTATAAAGAGCCCTAGGGCGCAGAATTATTTGTCCTTTTAATATCTAATCACTAGCTCATCATATCTCGCCTTATCTACAATCTTATGGAAATATTTTCGAAATGTCTGATGATCCAAGGTAGGTCACAACATTTAATATAGACCTCGAAAACAGTAACTAACAGACCTAAAAGCCGCCCCAGAGAAGACGCGAAAGTTGTATATGCATTCCCACTGAAAGAGGTTCCTGGCAAGACTATCGTGGGTGTATACGCTACGTACCCTCCAGGCGGCTGGACTCCACCTCACACCCACGCAAACGGCTCTATCTCTGTTTATATCATTAGCGGCAAGGTGAAAAGCCAATTAAACTATGGGGAGACGACGATTAAGTCTGCTGGTCAATCCCACTATGAGCCTCCAGAAACCCATGTCACGATCGCTGAAAATCCAAGCACGACAGAGTCGTGTGTGTTTTTCTTTACGGAAATTATTGATACGAAGGTGTGGGAGGAGGAGGGGCAGGACGCACTCTATAAGCTTGATCCAGGGTATGAATGAGATGGAATGAGAGGTAGCTGTGGAGAACACTTTACGAGATAGAATATTCAGAAATTCTTTTGGGATATGTGGAGAACTATATAAGTAGAGCTTAACAATACGATATCGGCAAATGATATTATCGTCGGCGGTATATCGTCACCGGTAATTGGACAATATGAGAATAGCTCCTGGTCCTAGATATAGAAAGAAGACTTTACTACAAAAAGAATGTAAGCTTAGATACTCGTTAATTAGAGCAACCCGCTTCCGTTGTGTAGTCCGACATTGTGTTGTTGCCGTACTAGTATATGGCTTGATATTTATATATTTGATATCGCTCTCCCGTCCTGTCGACTAACTCTGCTATTGCAAAGAACATATCTAATCCTTTCTAAATTCTATTTTCACTACGTATATTTACGCCATTGGCTTTTTCCTACCAACATACTATTAGACCTGGCAGTGACGGTTCAGCGAACCGCCAAGACCTAAAAGTTGTGCATAAATATACATAAACCATGGTTTATAAGCATAATATATCCATCATAACTAACTACTATTATGCAACAGGGTATGAGGTTAGGTGGGAGACCGGTGGGAGACCGGTGGGAAGCCGGTGGGAAGCCGGTGGGAAACCGGTCTAGAACCTGTGGTTCTGTGAGGTCATTAATGATTAATTACCCTGGTAATTGGCAAAAATTTGCTTAACGAATCCCATCACTCCCATCACTACCATGCTAACAAGACTATGTTAGTCCAAAGTGCCCAGGTCAGTTGGAGCGATTATTAATTGACGAATCATCCTTTTGGTACAGTCTAAGAAGCAACATTTAAAGGTTTGGCTAGCCATTCATACTAGGTAGTTAGTTAATTATAAATAATGTTTCCCATATTGCTTGCCTAGTCTTTTGCTTTCTCCCAGATAAGCAAGCACACGGAGAAATCAAACATTTCAACAACAGCCGCCCAACCATGCCAATGCCGGACTCTTACAAAGCATTTCGTCGCACTGCCGATGGATCATCTGTTGAGATGACGGAAGAGAAACTGCCATCGTCTCTTCAGTCCAATCATGTTTTGATTCGCATCCATGCAGTTTCTCTCAACTACAGAGACGTCGCCATGATGCACGGAAAGTATCCAGTTCAAGTGATTGATCGTGGTATCCCAGCCTCCGACTGTGCTGCAGAAGTCATTACGGTCGGTTCCGACGTCAAAGACTTCAGCCCGGGAGATCGTGTTGCGCCTCTTTTCGATTTGAACACTGTCACAGGGCTTGAAGATAACATGCAGGTTCTTGGTGGTGACGTTGATGGTGTACTACGACAATACGCAGTCTTTGATCAAAAGGTGTTGGTCCACTTACCTAAGCACCTGTCCTGGGAAGAGGTAGGCTGATCATCCAAATATACCTGGAGATGAATATATACTAATTTCCCTACAGGCAGCTTGTATTAACTGTGCCGGAACCACAGCCTGGAAAGCACTTGATATGCCACGAGCCGGGGGCACTGCTTTGCTACAAGGTAGGTGTTATGTCATATATCACCTGGCAGCAATAAGAAAGTTAACGTCGAGTGCAAAGGGACGGGGGGTGTTAGCATGTTTGCGTTGTTGATCTGCTTAGCAGCTGGCATCCAGCCTATTATTACATCTTCATCCGACAAGAAGCTGGAGATAGTGCGGGCGCTGGGCAAACCAGGAGCGGTACAGACCGTGAATTACACAACACACCCTGACTGGGATGAACAAGCGCGCCATTTTACCTGCGGACGAGGTGTCGACGTTGTCGTTGACAATGTGGGGCCCACCGCTATCGCACAAGCTCTTTCGTCCCTTGCCCGTGGAGGTCTTATCTCCCTTGTCGGCTTCCTAGGAGGGTTCAATATGGACAAGCAACCCGACGTACTTGGGCCTGTTCTACTGAAGAGCGCCAGATTAAAGTTTGTTACCTTTTGCCAACGAAGCAGTTTGCGAGATATACTAATCTTCTTGTGTTTAGGGGTCTTACCCCGGGCACGAAGCCTGAGTTCCAGGCTCTCTGCAATTTCCTGGAAGAAAAGGCACTCCAGCTGAAGCCTTTATTGGATGACACTATCTTTCCCTTCGAAGATTCAAAGAATGCTTTTGATCATCTTTATGCGGCCAAACATATGGGCAAGGTGGTGATCAGAATGTGAAATTCGGCAAATTCGGCAACTACCCAACGCGCTATTGGAGCGAAAGCTTTGGATTACGATTTTCAATTTGACATGTTTCGTTCCTATATTATGCACATATCTCACCATCCAACTCTAAATTGATCGATGAGCTGCTTTGTCGCATCTCCATGGGTGATATTGTGGGGATGGCCATCAGAATACTGAGTAGTTTACGGCTTCTGCAGCAATGTGATGCGACATGTTCGGTGCTGCCAGAACTCCTCCACGGATACTCACCCCCGTTCTGGTTCCCTCACGTGAATTTGTTTGTAATCGGTCAGGGAGCTGGCCGAAGTCAACCACACGGTAGTCTTAAAACAACAATGCGTCCTAGCAATCAAGGCTCGCTGGACATTGTCCCTGCCAACATACGGGTTGTTAGAGAAATAGATCGTTCCGATGCATCTTCAGTGTTTGAGACAGAACTCGAAGGCCGGAAATATGCTATGAAACTTGTAAGTAGTCTCAGCTACTTGCTCTTTGTTTATTACTAACGGCTCAGTTTCACGACAACGGGGATCTAGAATTTGCCGAGAATGGTCGAGACCTAAATCAATTCCGCTGCGAACTAAATGCCTATATGAATCTTCGGGAACACGGTGTCTGTGAGAGGGGATTCGTCCCATACTTCTACGGCCACATTGATCGAATCGACCCTACCGCGTTCGATCCAGCTTTTCAACTCGCGCACTATAAATATCACTCTAAAGCAATACTAAATTTAATCTTTGACAATACGAGTCTTGGAGCCATTTTCTTGACAAAGAGAGAGGTGAGAGAATGATGACTAGGAGAGCTCTCGAAGACAGATATTGGGGCACACGAGTCAGTTCGAGTTGGTTCTTATACTGAAACCGTCTTGAAACTTGGAATTTTTCCGGCGGTAACCGTATATGGACTAGTGCACTTTGCTAATTACATAATGTTGGGTGCATTTATGCCTGAGGCATACAGCCCCACATGGGATAGATCCATGGATCCTATCAACAGCACTATCACCGAACCGAATGGTCGCATATTTCCGGGCGTGCGAAGTTCCCTATGGACGAATCAAAGAATTGCTACCAAAACATGCGCTTTCTAAGTTGAAGTGTTGTCTCGGCCAAACCAGACAAATACGGAACCTATGCCTATGTTGTAGGAGCATGGAGTATAGAATAATAATGCTGATTGCACTCAGGGGCGTGCTCAGTTGCACTCAGTGAGCAAAAAGCGGCAAAGGACTGAGCACTAACACGGAAATGGAAGTGATAAACAGGGCCTGATTAATCAGGTGTCCATCTCAACAATTTCCCATCTGATCCTCAGTTTTACTCAGTGGGCAAAGAGCGGCAAGGGCTTCTTCCAATAGGTGAACATAGTAATACTAATTCTCCTACGGGAATTATCCTACATATTATTCAAACCACTCCACATCATCCACCACCCCAAATGACCATAATCAGACATCAACCTACGAAGAAGAACCACCAGCAGCTTCAATCAAAAACTTCCCAGCCTCCTCAGTATCAGAGCCATAAGTAAGGTGCGCCATGGTATTTCCTCCGTTGAGGCAGACAGGGTCACCTTGGTGACAGAACTCCTTGACCTTATCATCGGGAACCTTACCGACACTCTGAGCCTTGAGTGGGTCACCGAAGAGAACGGCAGCAGTAACCTGGTCAGCATCGAGGCTGCTAGCAGCCTTGTGGACGACCATGGCACCCTGGGAGTATCCACCCAGCAAGACCTTGGTCTTAGGGCACTGGCTGAGAGCCTGCTTGACGAGCTTGGCCATGGTGGGACCGCCGGTTCCACCCATCGCTGTGTTGCCCTGTTTGAATGGAGTGTTAGTTGACAAGATCTGGTTTATTAATCTTCATAGTAGTGCACCGAGCGAAGCCAAGTCCAGTACTGAAGATAGGAAAAAGGGAAGAAGGGGTTCTCATACCGCTGCATCCGCGGGATAATCCACTCCCTGCACGGTGACCTTGTCGCCGGTCAGGGAGTTCAACTGCTTGGCGAGGGGGGTCCAACGACGGTACCCATGTTACCCGTTTCGCCAGTTCCGCGTGCAAAGATGAACGTGTACTCCTTGCAGCCGTCATTCTGGGTCACACCCTTCTCGGTTGAAGAGCCCGAGCCTAGAAATTGACTATTAGCATTGCGTTCCCCATATGCTGTGATAGCCTGTTTAGGGGGTCTTACCGAAACCCGGGAATCCACTGCCACTGCGTGCGAGGGTACCGAAGGAGGAGCTAGAGTCGTCGGAGCTGCTACCAGACCCCGAAAGTCCTGGCATGAAAGACTTCCAGGCATCCAGTGCACTGCCGGTTCCAGTGCTGGAACCGAAACCGGGCAGCTGACGGTTTTCGATGGTGGAGGTGGGAGCTGCGATGGCAATACTAGCCAAGGCGAGGATGATAGTAGACTTCATGTTGAAACGAGGGAATTATATTTGTCAAAGAAGGGATTTGAGAGACCGGCTCTGCAATTGTGGAATAGTAGTGAATGAATTGGATTACAACAAAACCCGGGAGAGGAATGATTCATTCTTATATACTTGAATTTGTTGAGTTCGGCACTTGGATTGGGAATTGTCTCAAACTGAAAATTTAGTGAAACGAGGATCCTGTTTCATCGTTGGACGACCCCTGTTGTGGGGGTCCCGACACAGTTGGAGAACACACGGAGTAGAGTAGCCCTACAAGAGATCCAAGAGATCCAAGAGATCTTCAATGGATCCCGGGTTCTTCCGTTTTCTCTTCTTCTGGATCTGAACCTGAAGATCACATAAAAATGTCAAATTATCTGTTCACAGAGGTATTCTAACTTCTACATCTCTAAATGATCTTTAGCTGATGTATCTATTTCCTCCGTATATCCATGTAATATATGTGAAGATGTGATAGATCTACCACAAAAGTCCTGAGACACGGGGTTTTCAGGCGTTGAGTTAAATGATTGAAGGATTCAAAATTCGGATGTTCTCAAGAATGAGTCCATTTGCACTTAATCGGGAAATTCAGCCGGACCCCAAATCTTCGGAGACAAGCCCTAAGAAAAGGGCGAGGAAGTGTGGAGGATTCTACACGCAGGAATCGTATCAGGGGGTTCCTGAACTCTCAGTGGGACCCGGTCGATGCTCAGGGGGAGAACGGAGGTTCCACCAACATTAACCACGTGCTCCATACTGTGAACTGGTTAGCTACCGGTCTACTATTGGTAAGGAACTACTTATTATAGTTATTATAGTAGTAAAGAACTAGTTAAAAGTGGAAATAAAGTGAGATGCGTACGTTGTATACAGTAGGAAGTGGAAGAAGGGGGAAATCGAAATATAGGAAGCAAACGGGCTAGTCCCGATTAGGAAGCCAGATAGAGACTTTGTCCATGGAGTATGGAGCATGTTGTTGATATCGGTGGGATCTACGTTCTCGTATCGTACTCCAATAAGAACTTGGGCCCAACCCCTGATACGACTTGTACAGAGTACTGTATGTTGCACGTTTGGTCTAGTTGATGCTGAGAAGAGAACTCCAGAGTTTACAGAGTATAGTACATTAATATAGTACAGAATATAAAGTAAGTCCACAAGGACACTGTGATATACAATCGCCAGTGGCATCAGCCAATTTCTACTTCCTTAACTGCAGGTGATACGTCTTCAATGCCTCCTCGGTCATGGGGCTCGGGGCACCAACCATGGCATCATCGCCCCCTTTACCAGTCTTCGGGAAAGCGATCACATCACGCACGGATTCCTTGCCGAGCATAACAGCGACAAGTCGATCAAAGCCTAGCGCGAGACCGGCATGCGGCGGACAGCCAGAACGGAGGGCATCGAGCAGATGCGAGAAGTCGGCCAACCGCCCACGTGGCATTTTTAGGATATCACGGAAGATGAATTCCTGCACTGCTGAGTCATGGATACGACGACTACCACCGCCTAGTTCGACGCCGTTCACGACGAGGTCGTAGTGGTCAGCTACGGCCTGGGTGGGGTCCGTGAGGAGGAGATCGACGTCGGCGGGCGTCTTGGGTGCGGTAAAGGGGTGGTGTGTGGAGGAGAAGCCTGCTGCCCCGCCCTGACCAGGCTCCGAGTCTACCGAGGGGGAGAAAAGGGGGAAGTCGACGACCCAGAGGAAGTCGAATCCGGTCGGGGCGGGCTTGAAGCCTGTTGAGACTGAAGCTGCGTGTAGTGCACGGCGCAGATCGCCAACGGGGGTGGAACCCCCGGAGAAAGGAGCATTGGGTCGTGCCTGCAGAACGATCAGGTCGCCGTGGTCAGGGTCTAGTAGTTCCTCCACTTGCTCAGCGGCTTCGAAGCCGAAGGGCTGTAGTCCGCAGAGTGGCTGCTTGCCATTGTAGATGAAGATGCCTGGACCGCCGTCTCGGTTATTGTTGAACGGCGCACCTGCCGAGGAGTCCAGGAATTGGGTAATGAACTTGTGGGTCTCCGCGGGATCGTTGTTATTTCCTTCAAGCTTGAAAGCCTCCACGATGGGATTAGTAAGGTCGGAAATCTTGCCGACGAGATCCACCGGGAGAACATGATCAAGTCGAATGATTTCCATTCCGTATCTCGTGTCCGGCTTGTCAGATCCATATTTGGCCATGACTTCCTGGTAGGGGACTTTGCGGAATGGGCCCTGCGGGGCAGGGTCTTTCATCAACGACGACCAAAGTCGGCGAATGACCCCTTCCACGGTGCGCATGACGTCGTCGCCTGTTGCGAAAGACATCTCCATATCAAGCTGTAGGTATCCAATTAACATATATCACCATCACCCAACAAAAAAAAAAGAAGTCCATACCTGAGTAAACTCGGGCTGACGATCCGCACGCAAATCCTCATCCCGGAAGCAGCGCGCAAACTGATAATACCTTGGCAAGCCACTAGCCATGAGAATCTGCTTATACTGCTGTGGGCTCTGCGGCAAAGCATAAGCCAGCCCTTCCCTCCGTGTAGGCACAATGAACTCCCGTGCGCCTTCCGGCGTAGACTTGAACAACAGCGGTGTCTCAATCTCCACAAACGGCGGACGACACTGCTCCAGCTCTTCCTTACAAAGATTGTGTGCGCGGGCGCGGAAGCGCAGTGCTTCGCGCAGCTCTGCATCCGAGCGCAGTTGTAGGTAGCGTTGCTCAGGTGGAAAGACCGTTTCAGGTGTCATGATCAAGTCCTTGGGGAAGTCGTTGAGCGGGTGAATTGCTTCTAATGCGAGCTCCCATTGGTCTTGGGCTGGTGTGTTCCCTCCTTCTGATGCCTTCGTCTTTTTCTTTTGAACTGTACCGCGCACAGCCACGGGGCTGTTTGCGTTCACGGTCTTTAGCTGCTCGAAGGCATCGTTCTTGGCGAATGCGACAACTTGTAGGCTGTGTTGCAGGGTGGGATCAGATAGGCGCACAAAGGAGAGTTTCTTGGACAGGTCTGCGCGGTTTCCGAGGTATCCATGTAGCACTACTTCCGTGTTTGGCTCAGCCTGTGCGAAGAACGTTTCGAAGTCGTGGGTAGCGGGTGGGAAGTCCACTGTAGCGCATCATGTGTTAGCCACGGCCCTCTCAAACTATGGGAAAGACAACTCCTCAGCAGAAACTATCCACATACCAGCCCGTTTGTAAGCCTCCAAAAAAGCAGGGAACTGTTTAGGAGGCTCCTCCTGTCTCAAACAAGCCCGAGCATGGAATTGCCGCGGAGTCTGAATGGGGCTATAACATTGTCTCGGCGAAGCAACAGATCGACCGCGCAGAAGATTCGAGATCTCAATGTAGCTAGATCTCAGCCGCAAAGAGCGGAGCTGCACGGCAGCAATTGGCATATTTCAATTGTCGCAAATGCAATTGTAGCCAAACCAGAAGAAAGCGAGTCATGCCCGGACAAGCTGATCATTAGAACCGGCAGAAAACCACCCCGCCCTAGAAGCGGACTAGCGCCCGCAGAAATAAAAAGCGCGGGAATTTTCGCTCGTCCGTTTTTCTTTTCTTCTTCATCCTTCCAAGTTTTATACTTGTGAGTATTACTGTTCCCAAGTCCCTTTCAAAGGGAATTTACCATTTTTGATCATTGTACTAACTGTTTCCCAGAATGATGAAAGCCTAGTGTGTTATATATGAGACAGTCTCTTCCCTCTGAGACGTGCGGCTCTCTCTCTTCGGAGGGCTTAAGGGCTGTACGAATCGAGGGCAGGGTATGTGATATATGCGTTCGGCATACCAACCTTGTTTACATGACGGACGCGATGAAGGCATCTCTGATCCCATTCACAAGACTTGAAGGTGTAACCATCGGCTTTGGGCCATGGTTTGGGGGCTTCCCTTGAAGCTGGGAGGGATGGATGTTGGACGGGTTGTTGGCAACGGCGCCTTTTATGTCCAAGGTTCTCTCTTTCAGCTCTTATATTCGCATCTAGCTAGCTATACTTTGGCCTCAGGGACTTGTTCCTATGTCAGTCTCTTCTCCACGGTAGGGTTATAGAAGATTCAAATGTCTCCCAGACATAGTCGCCTGCGTCACTGTAGACTCTATAATCATACGGAAAGAAGACACCGGACATTTTAGCAAATACCAAGACCTTGATTAAAATATCGATTTTGATACTCAGGACTTCCTCGCATGTATCTCCCGTGTTTGACTATAGCTACTCTAGAAGGGCCACCTTGATTCGTATATTCAGTTGAACACAGCTCTCCATGCATGTCAATTTCGAATCGCAACAATAAATTTTGATATGTATGCTGATTCTTCCCAGCTTCAAGTAATAATCTATATATAAAAAAATTTAACCTAAATCAAGTATAGTCCCCTCGCATATATCTTTTTGGCCCCCTTTTCACGCAAGGATCATCTTCTCCAACACCTCCTTCTCTCCACTATTCTCAACAAGATTCTTGAAAACACCACCCTCGATCCCCATAAGATCCCTAGGCGTACCAAACTCAGCTGCCTTTCCAGCATCCATAACAAGAATACGATCGAAGTCCGCAATGGTACTAAGCCGGTGCGCAATGACTAACAAGGTGGTAGCATTTCGACCGAATTCCGCACGGATAGACGTCTGGATCAACGCATCGGTCTCCATATCAACAGCCGAGGTCGCCTCGTCTAGAACCATAATCTTGGGTCGCGAGACGATAGCACGGGCGAGACAGAGGAGCTGGCGCTGACCCTGGGAGAGGTTAAGGCCGCCTTCGGAGATGGTCGACGAGAGAGAGGTGAAAGCGTTAGAATTCGTCTTCTGGGGCGTCGGTGGTGTCGTGGCGCCCGTTTCACTGGGCTGGCGGGGTGTAGCAGTGCGCGATGTGAGCGTAAGCTCGTCGTCGTCGGCCTCGGAGATAAGGTGCACGCGTGCTAGCGCATCATATAGCTCTGTATCGTTGTATTCGTCGAACGGATCTAGATTCGATCGCACACTGCCGGAGAATAGCACTGGGTCTTGTGGGATAATTGCAAGTCGGCTGCGGAGATCGTGTAGTTTGATCGTGGAGACGTCGATTCCGTCAATGAAGATTTGGCCAGAGCGTGCTTCTAGGAATCGGAAGAGTGCAAGTGTCAAAGAGGACTTGCCTGCTCCGGTGCGTCCAACGACGCCAACGCGCTGGTTCTTCTCAACTGAGAAACTGAGCCCTTTCAATACAGGTGGGAGATCTGGTGCGTAGCCCACCACGAGATCGTGGACTTCGAGATGGCCCTCAGTAGGCCAGGCCGCAGGTGCATCGGCTCCTCCTTGGTTCTCCATCTCGATGTTGGAATACTCGATGACACGCTCTGTGGCATTCATGTTCAATTCAATATTTGCGTATTGTCGCAGTGCCATTGTGATCGCACTGTTATACTGCAACGCAAAGCTGAGAGCGAAACCAGCAAGCGAAGCGTTGATACCTGGCAGATAGACCACCAGCCCGGCAGTGACAGTTGAGAAGATAGCACCAACGATACTCATGCGGAATGAGAGCCAGCGGTTGAACAGCCAAAGGGTCCACCATGCTTGCGCATGGCGATTGATCTTGCCGTACATAATTTCGACGTAGGTGTCTGGTTTGCTGAAGGCACGAATAGTGATCAGTCCAGCGAGACTAGAACCGAATTGCTCAAACACTGGACTTTTCGCAGTGCTCTCCAGACGTTTGATTTGACGGGCACCTGCCAGATAGGATAGGGCGAGTTTTACACATATGAGCAATAGGACTGCGCCGAGCAAGATCACCGTCCAGTCGACAAGCACTCCTGCAATCATGATTGCAAAGACATCTAGGACCTTGCTCACGAAGAAGCCGATATCGTACCCGATTCGTGAATCGATTGAGTGGAAGTCGGCTGTGAAGCGGTTGAGAATTCGTCCCAATGGGACGGTGTCCAACCACCGGAGTGGCGCGCGGAGGATAGTATAAATCAAGCCATTGAACAGGTTCCTCGAGGCTCGGACTGACGCTGAAAGAATGCAGTAGTAACGGACTGTTCCCATTATGCAGGCAGTGACAGAGATAGCAATGTAGATTCCGAGGTACATAAAGAGATCATCGTCTTGTTGGACCGGTGCAGTCGGTTGCATGGCATGCTGCAATAGGACACTGTATTGCTCAGGATGGGCCTGAGTACTGGACGCTGAACGTGTCCAAATATTGATCCACCAAGACTGTGACAAATACGGATTAGTTAAAGGATATAGACAATGGGACAGATTTGGGATTATATGCACTTACCCGTCCAACCAAGAGAGACGAATACATTAGATAGATCGCGAGTGTCAACAACCAAAATCCCAGGGAGCCACCCTTATTCAAGAAAGCAAGGTAAACAGATATTCGCACAGAACCAATTTCCCGTTTCTCATCTTCAATGAATTTCTTTGGTGTAGACGTCTCTGGTGCAGCAGCAACCCCATTTCCAGCCGTACTCGGTCTTCGGTGAGATGTATTCGAGATGACCTTTTGGAGAGTTGTCTCCTCATCATTGAGGAATTCATGGTCTTCACTTTCTGCTACAAGATCCGCTTGTTCAGCAGCTTGTTCCTCACGAAGGATATCCTCTAGATGATGTGATTCCCTCAGATCATCAATGGTCCCTGCATATTTGATACGACCATTCTCCAACAACACGGAGTAATCCGTGCGAGGAAGGCACAGTGCGACATGGTGAGTGACCAAAATGCGAGTTCGGTTCTGACCGAGTTCACCAGTGAGAGCGTTCTCAAAGACTTGACGACCTGTGTGGGCATCGAGGGCGCTGAAGATGTCATCCATGATAAGTATGCCAGCCCTAGAGTATAATGCACGAGCGAAGGAGATACGCCAGCGTTGACCACCGCTCATATTGACACCATTGGCACCAATATCGGTCAAATCGCCGTCTGGAAGCATGTCGAAATCCTTTGCCAGAGCGCAGGCAGAGATGACCTTTCGGTAGCGCTCTGGGTCGTCTGGTAGTCCAAAGAGAACGTTCGCCTTGATCGTAGCATTTTCGATCCAGGGCATCTGCGCAACATAGGCGATGGCTGAGTCGATAATCCAATCTGCCTTTGTCGCAAGGTGATCAAATCGGTCTGTAATGGGAAGTGTAACGGGTACCTTGATTGTCCCGGAGAGGACATCACATTCACCTAGGATAGAAGAGAGAAGGAGGCTCTTTCCAGACCCAGTTCTACCCGATATCACACTTAGACTCTTGGTCGGAAATTTCAAGGTCATGTCACGCAGAATGAAACGATCCTCGGAATCTTCGATATCTTCCTCCTCCGCAGGCCATGCAACGGAGGCATCTTCAAAGGCGATATAATCAGCAGGGACAGTATTGACAATTCTTTCGGACGTAGCTAAGAATTTATCGATACGCTCCGAGCTGACCTTCGCCTCCAAGCCCATCGATGTAAGCTCTGGGATTATAGCGAGCGACGCTTCGAGAGAATTGAAGATAGCCATAGCCGTGAAAGCCACAGAAGGCGACAAAGTACCATTAATAATGGCGTATGTAGTCAATGAAACGGCGGATAAACCGACGGGACCGAGAACCCAGATCGCAAGCAGGCCAATATCAGCTACGAAGGAAGCCCACAATGCGCCAAGTTCGGTCTCTCGAGTCTCCCGGACACGGTTCTGCCATTGCTCCTCCAATGCGGAGAATTTGATCTGCCTAATGCCCTGCAGCACTTCGGTAACGATTGCCAGCTTCTGATCACGGAATTTCATCAATCGGTCCTGGGCATTTGAATATTTCTTAGCTGCGTAAACATTCAGTGGTGTCACAAGAAGAGAGACTGAAAGACCGGCGAAGGCACTGGGCCAGCCGAGGATTTGGACCAAAAAGGAGGCACCGATAATGATGCGAAAGAGCGCCTGCGGGATAATGTAGTTGAAAGAGGCAAAGTCGGAAACCCGGCGAGCATCCACAGCCACATGGTTGATAATACTCTGGCGGCTTTTCTTCAATGCATCCTCGTCATCGTCGTCGGCCTCCCCGGATCCTTTGCTGGAACTATCGGATTCATTTGTCGTTTTGGACTTTTTTGTATACTTCACATCCTTCCGACGCATGGCTTTGGCAAAAATGACTGCTGATAGCTCTGCGAATATGGGAACTCCAATTTTAGAGTAGACCACCCAGAACAGCCATGACTCGATGGCTGAGGCAAGGAACAATAACCCACCCAGAGCCAGGACCCAAACATACGATGCTCCAACATTCCAGTCCGGAGTATCGCGCAGTTCGAGTGTTTTCAGGATCTGAAACAGGGCGACCTGGGGTCCAAAGCTCAGAAAGCAAATCAGCAGACTAAGTATGGTCTGGGCTATCAGTGGCCCCAAATGCGCAAAAACAATCGCTAGCCATAATTTCCGGTTCTGTCGGGCAATTTCGAATTTCTCACGGAGAAAATCAGCACGTTTTGACGCTGTAAGTTTGGGAATATCCTCGAGGTCCATGGTCTTGTGCTCCACGGCATAGTTTAGCAACCCATTGGCCCAGCTGAAAGTGAAGCGACTGAATAGGGAGACTGAAAGTTCCCGCTCAACCAGCTTATCTTCATGGTAAACATCTGGACGACGTGGTAGCAGAATACAGAATATGGCACGAAGAGCAGCGCTAGCAATCTGTCCCAATTGGAGCCCGACCCACACTCGTCTTTGGAGAAGTTCGAGTTGAGAGAATACCAAGATTCCCAGTTCGATGCTCGGAACTACGGTGGCAATGATACTACCCCAGAAAGCAAAATGGCCGAGAACATATCGGCTTGTGGGTCGGGGCTCGGTGAAGAAAGCAATAGCTTGAATAGCGAGCAGAATCTAGAAAAACAAGAATTTGCCATTAGTTTGACTCAAATCGAATGGTTTTGTGTTCTTTTGTGTTCTTGATCGGGCTTTCTACATACCCATACTCCGAACTGCAGCCAAATCAATGGCGTGGAATTCGTAATGGTAAGCTTCAATGTCGCAAGAACAGCCAGTGCGAGAGTCACCAGAAACCCGGCGACGGAGAACAGGGCGATGAAAACTCTTTGCCATTTATCAGAGAAAGCTCGGAGGGATTCCTCGGTCGCTTCTCCATCTTCATCGCTGTACACATGTTTGGCTAATTGGATGGGCTCATAATCACGGGCTTTGCGAGAAATGCGGTGGACGATACTCTGAATAGCAGGTATACTATCCAGAGCAACTAGCGACAAGACTAGATAGCTAGATGTCGCTAAGTATGCCATATTCTCTCTTTTTTTTTTTTCGGACGCAAAAAAAAAAAAAAAAAAAAGGACAGACAAAGAGGAATATCAAGACATATTATCAGCGACTAAGAAACGAATACGCTATACTCCGTATGTTAGCGCGAGAGAGCTATCGTGACATCGAGCGGGGAACAAGCAGGGAATAGACTGATCTTAGACCGCCAGTGACTCAGAATACCTCACCTTTACCTTTTCATAATAATCTATATTAACTGTCAGATCAATTTCCTTTCAAGGCTGTGCATTGAGTCACACGCACTATAATTGTGCAGTTCTCGTGTTCAATGACTGAACTCCTTGGTGGCTGCATATTCTTTCTCCTCTTTACAACCCGAGTTCCGATCCCCCCGAGATTGGAAGAGATTGCGTCTTCCAATGGTGATGTACGAAATAGGATATCTGTAAGCACTAACCAGTTAGGACGATTAGTAAACCTTCAACTCGGATTCAAGGAAAATTGACCATTATCCACTTGTATAGCTTGTATAGCTTGTATAGCTTGTATAGCTTGTATAGCTTGTATAGCTTGTATAGCTTGTATAGCTTGTATAACTAGCTTGTATCCATCTAATGTCCACCTAATGCAGGACAGGCCTCCACCCGCGTCTCGGCACAAACTCTTCCACGGCCTCATCATCCAAGACATCACGCCCCAATCGTCCAGTAATAACGCTTCGCTCAGAATCTGGGCCGTGCACGTAAAACGGCTCAAATCCTTGTCCGACGAGTTTGGGGGTCCACCTTTTCTTTCTGCCTTTTTCTTTCAACTCCCCTGCATTTACCGTCGGCTCAAATCCAGAGGATTCCCGATCTAGACTGAGATACCACCGTCGTTGGTGGATCGAGCCGATCGTGTTGCTGGACCCTGGGTAAGCATTGTTTATTTGGATTTCCATGTCGGCGGTGTAGGTATCGTCTACATGTGCCTTAGTCGGGCTATTTTGAGATTCGGATTGACATCGTTGGGGTGTTGGATCCACTCTTAAATTTTGTTTGCTTGGTGGCGGCGAAGGTGACCCGGAGTCCGAGGTCAAGGGCGCTTGTGGCACCCTTGGCCTGGATTGCCGACGCCGTTTGGGGCCGTATCGGATTGGCCTCGCAAAATCGGTGGTTTTGTCCATCCGTAATATTATAGTGTAGTCTTTCGGTAGACGGGTTCCATGCAGTCGGAGTCGGATTTTGCGCTTAGTGTTCTAGCGTTAGAAAATCCCCTTGTCCCCGCGTTGTACAGGGGTATACCTACATTCTGAAAAGCTTCTCGTAACTTCGCACTATCTGAGATTGGCTCCGGTGAAACATGGCCGTCTTCAGAGACCTCTGATCGAGAGTCATCGGTCTCGGGGCCAGATGGGTCCATTTGATAAGGTAGAATCTCATATTCTCCAGTATCCCAGATGATCATGCTCCCCGTTTGGTGAGAAGCTGTTTCAATGAGATGATTCTGTAAAGACGCAATAATTAGTATCATACCATCTCATCCCAGATCGCAGACCCACCCATAAACAATGGATCCGAGTTTCAGTTGCATTCCGGTTCAATCGCTGGCTATTCGGATCCCCAGGCATCCCATACATAACAGACCAGCTGACAGAGCTGGTGTCCGAGATCTGGAGACGGAGGTCATAATGGGGCCCTGCGATGGGGTGGTCATGTTGATGGATGACGAAATGGCGTCCTTCCGGGTGCTCGTTGCGTCTGTACAATTCCATCCAATCTTTGATGGGCAGCCGCGGTAATGATTGTGTCGGAACTGGGCGAACACATTCTTTGAGCCTTGCCGAAATTGTGCTCAGGTGGTCGGTCACTTTAACCTGACCTGCTTCGATGGCAGCAAGGCTGGGTGAAGTGTTTAATTGGGATGCGTTTGGCGGGATAGCGTCTCCTCCATCTCCATACTTGACCCATTTGATCGATGATCTTTTTCGTGGCGGAGAGACAGGCGCATTTAAGCTTAAAAGAATTGGGCGCTGGTCATTTAGCGGAACTTCTTTTCTCGGCTCATATTCTGGGCTGGATTCTGGGCTGGATTCTGGGCTGTAGGCGCGTTTCATGATTGGAGCATCTGGGCTGACGCGTGTTGCATTTGGGATCAAGCGAGAGTTACAGCCATGACATGCATCATTGACATTATTGGGTTCATGTATTACCTGCATGATCTTTACAGACGGAAGTTGAGGTGATGTGCCGGGTTCGCAGCTTAGTAACAAGCTTGACTTCTAGCAGAGCCGACTACATGAAAGATATTAGGAGGCTTCACGGAAAAACGCCAACCAGTCACTCGTCAATTATATAACTATAAAAACGGAGGACTTGTGAAATTGACGTTGAAAATGTTGAAAATGACAGCTTCTGTACCAAATTACTATGAGGCTAGCGTGGTGGTTGAACTTTCCTTTATATATATTATCTCAACGGGTGGTTGCCTTCGCCTCATTAAAAAGCACAGGGTAGGGAAAAAAAGAAAAGAGTGCCATCGTGAAGAAACGAAACCGTGACCTCCGCCTAATTATTTTACACCAAGAGCAAAAATGAGCTGGAGTCCGCCGTTAGACAACCGCAGACTCGAGCTCATTACCTATTGCACTTTAGTGTGGATGGTATGCGACATCCATAGTCTCAAAATGTATATGTCCTAACCACATTGAAAATACGAGCTATTGTCTTTGTGAATGAGAATAAAATATACGAGACTAGCATCCGACTTCTCCCTTAAGTGACCTTAATCGTGAGAACTGATAATGGGATTAACAGCCACACTCTGCGGATTGTGGAAGACGTCATTCGGATCAACAAGAGTCTTGATACGTTGGAGCTGCCCAAGATTCGATCCCCAGTAGGCAACCTGGCCATTCTCAAGGTAAGGATCAACATATCCGGGATAGGAACGTAAAGGTCCGGGTGGTCGATTTTCAATCACAACTTGATGCAAGAGATCGAGGAACCTCCTGGTGGTGAATGCAGGAGGTTCAAAGCCGACAACAGCATAGGATTGCATCCACATGACAGCGTCACGGTGCACATAGGACGTGGCATTCATAGGAACATCGTTGGTTGCGCCACCTTCGAGGTCGAAAATAATCCACCAGTTCCCACTGCTCTTCGGTGCGTTATCTAGGTATGTGAATAAGGCGACTAGCCCGTGCTCGGTGAATAGTTCGTCGACCGTGAACGATAATGACTTGGAGTAGAACGAAGTAAGCAAAGCTCCACCGATTGAGACTAGGTAATTCTCAGCCGCGTGGGCTACTAAGGCTAGCCAGTTCGTGATGTATGCCACATTGCCCTTGTTTCGGATTGGGAGGTTGTTTTGCTGCTCAAATTCTTCAAACTCCTCTCTGGTTCCGAAGAAGCTGCCCGTGATCACAATGCCGTCCTGGAAGATTGTGAGCTCAGTGGAATAATTCCGCGTAATGTTAGGCTTTGCGATAATGGACTGCCAGGCTTGGAAGAGGTTGACCTTGTCAAGTACGTCTCCCTGGCTGAATGTGTACGTATATTGCACAGCGCCCTTCGGAATTTCCTGAGTGCGAACCTTGAACTCAGTAACGATGCCAAAGCTGGCGGCCGCACCCTTGACAGCCCAGAAAATGTCTTCGTTCTGGGTATCCGACGCGGCCACAATGCTGGAATTGGCGAGGACTACTTCAGCCTCCAGTACATGATCCAATGCAGTTCCCCATTGTCGTGACATGAGACCAAGACCACCAATGGTGAAATGACCGCCAACTCCGACTTGTGGACAAGATCCATGTGTCATCGCTCTACCACCTGCTTGCAGAAGACGGTCTTGGAGATCCCCCAAGTTTGTACCAGCCCCAATTGTGGCAATATGGGTGTCCGGGTCCATGGAGAATTTCTGGAAATATTTTAGGTCGACGACAACGTGACCATCGGCTCCTCCCAGACCTACCATAGTACAGTTGGTTTAGCAAAAGGTACACCATGATTCGGACGTAGAAGATACTTCCATACCATAGTTTCCATAGCTGTGACCTCCACTGTAAGCTTGTACCCGGTAGTTGCTCTCAACGGCACAACGCACAATTTCCGCGATCTGGCTCGTAGTATTCGGATAGGTGATTACCGCGGGATGGACCGGCATGGCCAGGTTATAGGATGGCAAGGCCCGAAATTCATACAACAGATCTCCCCGAAAGGTCGCCATTGTAGGGTTTCCTCCCACGGCGGCCATGAAGCACTCACGGCCGGCAACGCTGGATGTGTTTCCCATTTTGGATGACAATAAATTGAGGGCTAACCCCAAGATAGTCAAGTAGAGGCTGATGCAAGAGAGAAGATCAGTACTGGCCCGGTGGAACATATAGAAGGGGCGGGATCACGACTGCTTCACGAGACGGAGAGCCCTGGGTAAGTCTTTTGCTCCCTCCGACGTCTCATTTACTCGGTGTCACAGTTGTTACATATGTCACGGTTGTCACATTCGTTATTAGTACTCAGGGGGTCTTGTGATTCTTTCAGCATCTTTGTCTAAACATAAATACTCGACTTGGCCTGTCATGCCACTGCATATAGGGACTCTGGTGTAACAAGGCGAATTTGTACATGAACGTGCTTGAGATGATGAAATTGCGAGCAAATATTCGAATAGAGTAGTCAACCAATAAGTTCACAATGGCCTAGGTGAATACCGGGAGATGCCGAAAGAAACTGCTCGGGGACCACTATAACTATAACGGCGACGTAAATGGTCCCCGATCCGGAAATCCCTTGTCATGCAATGTTGGAAACCCTAACTCAACTCCTTTTGTTTCTTTACTTCTTTGCTTGTTTTTTTCTTCCTTAAACATCGAATTCGAAAGAATCCCGGTTATTGATTTTTTTTCTCTAACTTTCTTGGTGTTCTATACCCTCATACCTCATACCATCCAACACTTCCCGCAATGACATCAGGAAGAAAACCTTAGTAACAAAGACGAATCGACAGAGCATCAACATCATGTTCACCCCAATTCATACCACGCTGGGCGCGCTATTACTATTCCAAGGCTCATCCGGCCTACTCGTACACAACGGCGCCGTCTTCGGTATATCCTCTCTTCTATCTGGGTGCGCTCTCAACCCGAGTCGTGACAATGTGCCTATCATCGCGGGTTTGGTGTCCAGCATTGTACCGGTATACTTGCTGGCACCCTCACTGATCCCGGACTATCCCGCGTCGCCACATTCATGGGCTTCTGCTGCAGCAACGTTGGGAGTGGGCTTCCTATTGGGATGGGGAACAAAGGTGAGAAGTATCGAATATAATTGGAGAACCAGGAACAAGTTGACTAAGTGAAGCAGAACGGTCGAGGCTGTACCTCGGGACATATGCTGTGTGGCCTTTCGCGTCTCTCGCCCCGCTCGCTGATTGCAACCGCCATCTTCTTCACAACTGCATTGCTCACAGCGAACTTTGTTGGGGGCGGATCTAATATCCCGTCGTGTGGTACGACCCCGTGCTATACACCAATGTATCCGTCTGGGCTGGAGTTCGGCTTCATGGCTGGTGCAGCGCTGCTGGCGGCTGTCACGAACTTCATCATTGTCCCACAGAAGGTCCATCGATCGGAAGAATCTAGGGTCGTCTATTCTTATGTGGCAGGGTTGGAGTTCGGCCTGGGTCTTTTTATATCTGGAATGGCGGACCCAGCCAAAGTGCTCAGGTTCTTTGCCTTTGTGACTGACCCGTCCCGATTTGATCCGTCGCTGGCGCTGATCATCCTGTTTGGAATTGGGCCATCGCTGTTCACCTTCCTGGTTGAGAAACCAGGCCAATCGGTTGAAAAGGGAAAGGCCATTGCTAAGCCTACCCTTGCCGAGAAATGGCGACTCCCAACGGCCACGGTGAGCGACATAGATTGGCGCTTTGTTGCGGGTGCTGTGACATTTGGACTAGCTTGGGGACTGAGAGGGGTCTGCCCGGGCCCTGCAATTTTGCGAACACTCCTACAGCCCACTTGGGGACTGATCACAATGGGCGGTTATATGTTGGGTAACCTCATTTAAAGGGCATGGGATATAGAAATTATAGACATTTAATTCTTCATTCGATTCGTTGAACTTTGGCGTCTTCTCGAGTGAATAGAGTCGAGATCGGTGCGTGGTTATGCAAGAAAAGAAAAGATGGAAGTCCGAAGATCTCAGGAGCTGCGTCCGAGGCTTGATTAGCAAGGGTACTAATGCCATAAGAATATGTACGTAGTCGGTTCAACTGAGAATAGATGCCACTGGTCCGTGAATAAATGCATTGGGTATATAACAAGGAAAAGGACTCGGGCAGTGGATAGAAAATGGAAGAATGGCTTACAACTCAGTCTTCCTATCCATGCGGAGCGCTTCCATCTCAGCAGATTGGTCGTTACTGCGTGGACTGGGGGCAGATTTATGATCAAAATAGCCTTCCAACTCCATCCACTCCGCAACGAAGGCGGTAACTAGCATGCTCCAGTCCTCGACGGTATCCAAATCTAAATGTTCACCATCATCGTCGATTGAATGCCAAACAGAAGGGAATCCCTTGAAGGGAGTAAAGTCAATAAGATGGAGGATCTCAACACCCTTTGCGAGGAAAGGAAGGTGATCATCCTGGATGCCACCCATAGGCGACAGGTTGTGTCCGTCATTCTCGGTATCAACGAACCATGGATTAGCCGAGGCAGACTTGAACTGCTTCAATGACTTGAATCGTTTTTCAAGGGCGCCCAAGCTTTGATAAGCCCAGTGTGTTGTCTCATAATAAGAATGAACTGTCGGGGATTTCGAGCCCAGCAGATCCAAAAGGACAAACAGAGATATCGATGACAAGGGACCCTTGAATTCCGACATCGCGGGATAGACTTGGTCATCCCAATGTGTAGCCAGGGCACGAGCTCCATAGAGGGAATCGGTCGCAGTCCAGACATCAAAGGCCTCTTCGCCATCCAAGAATATAACCTGGAGACCCCGCTCTTCTTCAAGGTAGGTATGTAACCCTTGCTCCTGTAGCGCGGACCATTTCTTTTCTAGCGCGGCATCGATGCTGCGCATGGTATGCATAATCATCGCACATGGCGCGGCACTGTCGATGCCTCCGATGAAGCCTTCCGGTTCTACCTTGCTATCATAATGGGCGACAAGAGTGAGCCGGCCAACGTCACCAACCGAGGCCCAAGGAGGATCGCGAGTAGCGATGAAGTTTCGGAAATGTACATCCTTCCCCTTGGATAGTGGTGTTTTGGCTGTGGAGTTCTGAACCTCAATAGTCCATCTGGGCAGTGCGGTTCGAAAAAAGTCGGCAAAGTGATTGAGTACCGCGGTGGAGCCGGAGGTGCCAGGGACGCGGGTCCTTAGTATAGGTGACAATAAAGCGCCGTTGTGGATGTCGAAGTCGTTATTGGGCCGTGGGAGTTGAGTCAAGGTCTTATCTGATATTTCCTCGTATGCTTCTACACATGCTAGAAGCATTAGAAGAAGGCATAGCCAAAGTGACACAATGCCAGGTGGCATGCGATAAGCCGGAGACATGGCGTTGAAGGAAAGCTAGCGCTAACGGTTCACGACCTGCATTAAAGCAACGATCGGATCAATTCAAGCCTTATTTAGCTAGGTGATCAACGATAGTATATGGTATGAGATGAAAGGAGAATGTGTCAAAACCCTAGCAGGAGTCAGCACATCCAGCAATCTAAACAGAGCGGAAGGCAAGGCGGTCACCCTTTTTGCCGAGTGATCGGCGTCGAGATCAATCAACATCCAAATCCCAACAGCCAACTACAATCATTACACAGGCACAATGCGACTACAGATTTTACTCCACCCTCAATTACGCACAACTCTGCCAGAATGTGCTCAACGCAGTCTTCGTAGGAACGTCTGGGTTCGCTTCAAGTCGCAGATACCTCGGCCGTCGCAGAAGCATCTTTCACCATTACCCAAATCAAAGGAAACCCCCCAGCTACACGTTCTCCAGTCACAAGAAATCTCACACCACCAAGGACAACCACCAGGACAGGTATGTGAACCCTTCCCACTGGTATTAAGCGCATTTGCTGAGCTAGAGTTGCAGGGCCACCAGAACGAATTTTGGTCTATTATGGAGGGACGGGTAGAGCTATATTTCTGGGAACGCTGCGAATCACCACGGTGCTTCTATTCGGTGCAGCATGTCTAATCGTTGCACCAGCATGTTCCGTGGCCGATGATTACCCTTGGTACAGCACACCTGCGGGTAAGCTAACTCGGACATTCCACCCACCTGAGCGTCAATGCTAAATTTGCTTTAGTGATTGCTGCTGGTGCCCTCCCAATGATATTTGTCTCGTATACTGCTGCCCCGTATGTGAACTTTATCCATCTGGCACTGCCTGCCTTTGCGAGGAAGTCGCGGGAAGCGGCTGTCCAGTATGCAAAAGATCTGCCTCCAACGGCAGTGCTATATCTCACCAGCATGCGATTCAATACCATTCCCCGGCAAACGACTGTCCGTCTTGGTGATCTTGTTCCCTTCAAAGACGCCCTGCGACCCGTCACATTCCAAAATCTGAATCCGTCACCGCAACGATGGTGGCAGGGAAGAGCCCCAACCCAGTTTTATACTGGAACCCACAGCAAGCCGGGGAGACAGACTTCGGCTTTCTTCCCTGAATTGTGGAATGGAATTTACCAGCAGATTCAAAAAGTCAAGTCACAGCCTCATTGATCTCTGGAATTTTATGGCTGGTTCCATCGATTGTTTGACTGACACCCAATTCTCTCAGTTATTGATCGACGGAATCTCAGTCGGTCTGAAGGAAGGTCCACGGGTAGCTATGGATTAATGACTGGATCTGTCATCCATGGATGTATTTCATATCCATTTACCCCCGGCACAGTAAACAGATTAGGATCCAGTCGCAATTAAGTTGTATGGGCTGTGTTACTGTTTAAGATTCAGTTGCAACCGGGTCCTTCTCTCATGCTTTAGGGTGGAATAAAACTCGTTCACATTCCCTCACGTCTCACTTAACTCTCATCTAGAGCATCTCTGAACCAAACACACTCCCCAGGGATCTATATACTCGCTTACAATCAATCGCAATAGAGTGTTTGAGTGCAGTTAAATACCTGTCAGTCGTAATATAACCGAAGTTCTCTTTCGACATCCATGTTGACAAACTTGCATTCTACGCCGAGAATTCATTCCAACACACGTTTTGAAAAACAATTCATTCCGCTTCAGATCAATCAGTTCAGGTCGACGCCGCTTGCTATTTAACTTCCATTTCCAGCTGCCCCGGAATTTCCTCCTTCATCCTTTTACATCCGTTACATAAAGTTCAAATTCCATTCGAAACTCAATCTGATCCACCGAACTTCTATCCAACCTGAACAACCTGATCCGAAATGTCTTCTCCAGCGAAACCAATCCTCTTCCCGGGCATTTCCGCCACGGAGACCAAGCTTTTGGTCCTGGCGAATGTCTGTCTGAAGAATGATAAGGTACGTTATCCGGTCCCAAGTTCTCACGCTATAATTACCTTGCTAATGCAGTAGACGAGAAAGATCGACTATGACAAGCTTGCTGCGAATGCTGGCATCAAGGCCTCGTCTGCTCATACGCTCTTTCGCACTGCGAAACGCAAGCTAGACAAGCTGTGCGCCGATGACCACACCAATGCGGATGATGCCAGTGCCACCATGTCGCCCGAGGGTAGTTCTTCCAAGCGCCGAAAGGCAAATGCAAAGACCCCTCGCACCATCAAGTCTCCCAAGACCTCCATGTCTCCGAAGACCCCCAAGTCTGCCAAGGCTACCAAGAGTGACAAGGCCGCTATCAATTCCGAGGAAACCGACGACCAGGATGTCTCCATCAAGCTCGAGTTTAGTCCCCTCACTGCTGATTTCGAATTCGCTGCCGCCCTCGCTGAGGATACTACCCAGGAGGCCGCTGTTGCCGCTGCTCAGTCTGGCACTGAAACCGCCGCCCTCGCCGAGGATACTACATGCAAGGCCAAGGCCGCTGTTGCCGCTGCTCAGCCTGGCACTGAAACCGCCGCCCTCACTAAGGATACTACCCTCAAGGCCCCCGTTGCTGCCGCTGAGCCTGTCGGTGAACCCGCTGCTGCTGAATCTCTCACTGAACTCTCCACTACAGCTGATGCAATCAAGCCTGATACTGAGAAAGAGCAAGCAAATGTCAAGGCTGATGAGAACAGCGACGCTGTGCTTGACCTAGCTGTGGACCAACAACTCCCCGAGTCCCCACTGCACAACGAAGAGGACGATGCCTACAAGCAGGAAAATGCCCAAAAAAACGACCAGCCCGAGAATTAAGTCTGAGCCCATGAACTTGCGGAGCACGAGGCGGTACATATTTGAGAACTCGTGGTTTTTGCCCGATTTGCATATGGTTTTGAGGAGGATGCGAGGAGATTATCGATGGTAATGGTGAATGCTCTTATAAAAAAAAAAAAAAAAAGGTATCTACTGAGTTTCGTCTCAGACGGTGATAAAGCATTCAAATTAACAACAGTGGATATTGCATTTCCCACTCCAACTACATATCCAACATTTTCGTACGTGCTGGCAATCAGACATTTTAGTTACCTAGTTACATCTGGAATAACCCGCATATGTATGCAGTCAACCATCGACCCACGGAGGACCCCTGAATGTCATGTACGATGGTGTATAGCGCTCGATGGCGAATGCCTGATTTTAATTCCAGGATGCCTTATTTTGGCCTGATTCATGCTTAAATCCGCTTTTCGGCCTCGCTATCCATGTATACAGCGTACTATGTATGACCAACTCGGCACGGAATAACTAGGCGCCGTTAAACCCCCATAAAAATGAAGCTTTTGATCTCCATACAAATGGAGATATTTCCATGCTTTTGGCCGGTTTGCAAATGTCAAAAACGAAGCTTTTCATCTCCATTTAAATCAATGCCTACCATACATAGACAAAGCCCCTGATCTGCCAAATCCTCATCATTTTTGACACATGTAAACCGTCCAAAAATATGGAGATATCTCCATTTGTATGGGATGAAAAGCTTCATTTGCATTCCTACCTGAGCCTAGCGGAACCACCTGGGCAGTGACTGCCTTAAAAGTCGTAGCGTATCTGGATAAAATCTAAACAAGATATAATACAGGTCTTGTGTGATAGGGGGAGAGTGGCTGTTGTGTACCACTAGGTTTAAAATGTGTATTATTGTTCGGTTTGTGAGGGTTTATCCGATTGGACATGAGGTTGATGTTATTTATAGGTTAGACGTTAGTTGAGTTAGATATCAGTTGCATATAATACCGGGTTAAGGATACAGCATGGGGACTACCTATGATGCTACAAACGGACGGTTGCGAAGTGTCTAAAACCCCACAAAGATATATCATTTTATAGTACCTGTAGGTTCCTTCTATGGAGAAGCGACTATTGGCTCCCTATGGATAGACCGGGAACAAGTTCAATAGAGGCTAGGATCTTATACGATTATTAGTTACAATTGTAGAGGGAACACATGCTACAGAGCGAATGCTCCCTCAAACCACTTGTAGGCTGATAGAAAGTAATGTTTGTGGGTGACTGACGAATGGAATAACCTGCTCTTACTAGATATTGACTCCATATTTCATGGAAACAGGCGCTACAAATTAGATACGACAAGAATCACCACAGCAAGATTTAGGAGATCAACCCATTGTTAAGTATAGCATCGATTGAAAGGACAAGTAATGGGCTCATTGGATGCTAATGAGCTAAAGGTGCTGGGTTAGTCACTATGATGTGCTGTGGTGGCTATCATGATATAGATGCCAAGGTGGGCTATATTGTGCAAATATATAATCCGATGAATTTCCGAGTTTGGAAGGTGCATTGTCCACGCGCGTAGGTGTACAGTGCGTAGGTTACAGCGCGTAGGTATAGAGCATTTAGGGTTACTTTAACGGGATTGGTGTCTCGATGCCTTAATTTTGGCCTAGTTTATATCTAGATTATGGCTGAATTTAGACCCCTTTCAGTATCCGGCGTGGAATAACTATTGTGCCTAATATACCTACACAAACGAAGCTTTTGACACCATACAAATACAGGTATCTCCATATTTTAGACTTGTAAACCGCGTAGGGATGTAGATATACTGCCTGCATTTGTATACGGTCTTCATTTCTGGACTTGCAACCGCCCAGAAATATAGAGATGCAGTGAATTGTATGGTGTGTAAAAGCTTCATTTTTTTGGACTGCCTAGGCCAGTAGAACGAACTGCCTGTGTGGTACTTTGCTTATCAAGGGCTCTGTAGCTGTAATTCAGGTATCTTTATTTTTTGGCCGGGCCAAAATTAGGCATCAAGGCACTAGTCCGGTCAAAGTAACCCTGAACGATATACACTTGAGCAAGACGCGTGTTATACACCTGGGTAAGGCACGTGCTATACAACTGGGTAAGACGCGTCCGTTCCCAAGTAGGCCTATTTATACACTAATTCTTCAGATCGATCTTTCTCCATCTACATCCATCTTCCCTTCTGAAATTGATATCCACGAGACTCGCTTCTATAACCTCGTGTTCAACCTTCAAGCTATCACTGACTATCTGACCAAACAACAACCATGCCTCAAGGGCAGAAACAAGAGAAGATCTCTGATACGGTGAAGTCCGTTGGACTCAGCCCAAGCCAGATGGAGCACCTTGTGATGGCATATCTATGCATGGAAAAGCCCAAGGTAAGTGAACGAATGTGCGCTTGGATCTGCACGGTGTTTGAGCTCAACGCGAGTCTTCTTATTCTTGGCAGGTTGACTGGAAGAAGCTTGGCGAGTTTTGCAAGGTTACACCTTCCTCTGCTAGAACTGTCTTTACCAAGAGCCGACGATGCCTCGAGAGATGGGAGGATCAGAGAACCGCCGGGGCAGCTACCAAGGAAGCCGAAGAAACCGAGGAAGCCGGAGAAGATGAAGAAGTCGAACAAACCGAAGAAACCAAGCATGAGGAGGACGATAACGAGGACTCTGTGGAGGCTGTGGAGGCTGCACTCGCCAAGGATCCTAAGAATTAGGATGGAAGGAGATCTATCAGTGATCGGACCAAAATCACTGGTTAACATTGTAGCTTTGACCTAGGATTGATATTTTAAGGATCCTACATGTTGTGTTAAAGCTCAATCATAACGTTAGCTTCATTTGCAGTGGATAAGACAGAATTTGAAGGTCCTGAATTGGAATGGTTATAGTAGTTCTAATATAGGCGAGATAGAGAGATGTATAGTGTAGATGGGAGTTTTCGAGTCCAATTATTTCCACAAGTAAAGTGCACGTAAACATTGTTCCCTCTTCACCCAACACACCATCTTCCCCAACATCAACAGTTCACCACAACCCATATTCAGTTCCTTGCACACCACAATAAACTCCCATCTCATCAAAAAGGAACGAACCATCGTCACTCGCGTTACCAAGTGACACGATGTCGACGACCCCATCCCCCAAGAAGTCTGCCACCCCATCCCCCAAGAAGAAGTCTGGGTTATTCGGTGATTTCACAGCCGCTGAAATCAAGCTCATCATGGCCAGTGTCCTATGTATGAGTGGAAAGGTACACACGCTCTCTGTGTCATCAGCCATCGAACCATAGCCCAAACTGACTCTACTTACAATTCAACTTGACACCGAAAAGCTTGGAAAGCTAAGCAACACAAAGAGACACTCAGCAAGCAGCCGATTTCCATCCATCAAGCGCAAGCTGGAAAAGATGTTCGAGGATGAACTGAGCAACCTAGACGATGGCCAGACCAATTTGAATGCCAAGGGCAAGGGTCCAGCAACCGGCCGCGCAAAGAAGCGCCGTGACAAAGTTGTTGACCCGCAGCCTGAGCCCGAACATGACATCAAGTCCGAGGCGGAATCTGGGGAGGACACCAAGAATGCTGTGAAGGTTGAGATTGTCATTGAATCGGGGGAGAGCACGGAAAGTCTGGTGAAGGTCAAGGCCGATACCGATACCGACATCAAAATCAAGCCGGAGCCTATCGACTAAGTGATCGTGTTGTCGATGCAGGTCTCTCCAGAGGTTCGTGACTGGGGAATGCTTACTGCACTTTTTCATGGGATCCAACATATTTGAGAAATTGATTTGACAGGAGGTACATGATAGAAGGGGTGTTTATCAAGTGTATCTATCTAGTTCGCCCTTTCATGCGAGATTGGCCACAGATGTTTACCCAACAATGAAAACCTATTGCACAACATGATACAGTCACCAGCAAATGGAAATGTACATAGGCATTGTCTATGTGTGATATTGTGGTATAAATTGCCCTTGTTTTCACTTTGTCCTCCATGTTCCTTCAACAATCTCCCTTATTCTGTGCTTCCGGCGTTGATTCTTGTTCATCCAACAAAACACAAGGTTATCAGCTATCACGAACACGTTATGTTTCATTACGCTAGACTCCAGGCTCCTGGATGGATGGGTTTGAAAGGGGCTGATGTCAAGTTCCTAGTTCTTGCACACTTTTGTTATGCCACACCACCGGTTGTTACCCACTTACCCTGAATGTTAGCTTGTATCTACTAAACATCCTTCAGAAACTCGACGAAAATAAACTAGCACATATCGCACGTGTAAAACCCCGACATGCTCGAAATGCACTCAGAATCGCCAAGAGAAATGCACTCAAGTTGTTATGTGCTACTGATCCGAACATGTCTATGAGACCACAGGATGTTCCAGAAATGACCCTGGATTATCAACCGGAAAATCTTCCAAAAAACAAGAAATCAAAGATTTTGCCCAACGAGTCTGATGAAGGTAGCACAGCAGAGTCTTCTGAGTCAGAGATCGACGAAACTCAACCAAAGAGCCACCACCAGAACGCTAAGCGCAAAGACCATGTTAAACACAAGGGAAAAGGCAAGCGTATGTCTCTGGACAGCGAAGGTGAAGACAGCGAGGACAGTGAGGACAGTGAGGTCGAAGACGACGAGTCTTCTCTGGTGAACTTCAACGCTTCAAGCAAGACCCAACGCCGGAACACCAAACAAAAGGCCACGAAGCGCAACAGACACAGCAGACAAAACAGACACAAAAAGAGCTCTACAAGTCATGCAGCGAGAAAAGGAAGAGACAGTTCTTTCTACACAGGCAACAAGCCCTCATCCTCCCGCGCACGCTACCAGAACGTCGACCACAACCGGGGTGTGAAGCGTGGCAGAAAGCAAAACGTGTACCAGGATGACTCGACTGAAGAAAGTGCCGACGAGTCATCCAGCGCAGAGATGGACGCCGCTTCTTCCCGCACAAACCATGGCAAAGTCAAGCGCAAGCGACTCGGAGACCCCAATGAAGTGGCTGATAGTACTTCGGACAACGAGAGTGACATGGAGGAAGAAGTCAAACGTCGACTTACTCGAGCATGTGCCAAGTCCGCTTCGGTCAAGAACAAGTCCCAGACTGCGAATGACAAGAAACTCGACAAGACCAAAGAGCTCGCCGACTCACCGGATAAAGACCTTGTTAGGAATGCTTTGGGTGGTCTTACTTTGGGAGGGGATGCGGATGCACCGAAGACAGATGGCCGAGCTCCGCGAGGACATGCTAAATCTACTCATGTCAAGATGCCTGTCAAGACTAAATCCCAGAGTGGGAATCGCAAGAAGGTTGACAAGACCAATGAACTGGCTGAGTCACTGGATAAGGATCTCGTTGGGGGAGCTATGGATGGTTCTACTTCGGAGGGGGATGCACCGAAGACGAATGGCCGCGCCACGAAGACCACGAAAGAAAAGCACGATGAAAGGGCTGGCTCCATGCATGAGGAGAATGAGGAATCCGAGCGCGATGAAGCTGATGTCTGATGTCTGAAGTTGATTTGTTGGAGGTATGGATTATGATCAAATTGCTGGATTGTTCGACTGCGTGTTTGTGGCAATGTTCGGTTTTGTTGTGTGTTTTATTCGGCTGGCATGTTCGAAGGACAAGAAAGAAAAGAAACAGGAGGAGGCCTACTTGGATTCTAGGATGGATTTCAGGTTGATTTGAAATAAACATGCTTTGCTATGAAGATGAATACACATTCATATGGAAAGTAGACTAGATAACCGAATAGATCCAAAGACGCCCTGTGAATCAAGATATAAAACAACAGAAGAATGAAATCTGACATGAACGGCCAGCTGAAATGAAAGATAAAAGATCATAGACCCACATTATGAAGATGGACAGAAAAAAAAGAACGAAACACCACCGAACAGATATATCAATCACTAAAGCGCCTCAATTGCCTTCATCAAGACATCCAAGCCACGATCCGAGACATCGCCTGCATTCGAGTCTTCCTCTTTGACAGTGTCACGCAACGCCCAGGCCACATCACTCCACCAGCCCAGACCGACGTAGCCACCGCCCTTGCGACGCTCCAGACTCTCCTTAAGCCTGCTAGTGTGCTCCCACTGTTTGGCAGCATCCTCCGCACATTCAATGACCTTGCTTGGAATCCCGCACATGGATGCGCAGTGCATACCGAAACTACCTTCTGCAACACCCTTCTCAAGCTTGTACAGGAATGCGACGCGGCGCTCGACATCGTCGACATGGATGGCCATACGCTTGGGTGCGATCTCGGGATGGTTTTCGAATTCAGCGGCAAGCGAGTGGTAGTGGGTGGCAAAGAAGCCTAGGGCTCCGATATGGGTAGCGATGTGATGAAGTACGGCTTGAGCCACGGCGACACCGTCGTAAGAGCTAGTTCCACGGCCGAGTTCGTCAAGAATAACGAGTGAGCGCGGAGTAGCCTCGGAAAGAATCTTCTTTGTTTCGGACAGCTCGACAAAGAACGTTGACTGGGCAGCGAATATGTTGTCGTTTGCACCGAGTCGGGACATGATTCGGTCGACGGGAGTAAGTCGGGCTGACTGGCAGGGAAGGTAGCAACCGATTTGGGCCATGATGACAGCAACACAGGTCTATACTTGTTAGTAACATGACTAAAACAACGGGGGAAGCGGGTGAACACACCATTCGGAGAACAGTAGACTTTCCGGCAGCATTAGCACCGGTCAGCAAGTCAATGCTAGCATGTTCGCCACCAAGCTGGATATCATTGGGAATAAAGTCCTCAACAGACGAAAGAAGACAAGGGTGACGGAGCTCTTCAAACTCCAGGACACTTCGCTCATCCTCCACAAACACTGGTCGGCAACTCGGATGGCCGATGGCACCAGAAGCCTTTGCCAAACTGATCAGGCAGTCGAGCTGCGAGACAATTCTAACGGCAGCCAGCCATGTGCTATAATGCTCATCGAACCGGGCATGGAACCGTCCAGCAACCTCTTTAACGATCTGACTATGGGTTTCTTGGGCCTCTTGCAACTTCCGAATGAGGCTGCGGAGCTCGGGGAAGTAGTATCGCTTGACCTGCTTGGTCGCAGACATCTGGTTCCAATCCTTGGGGATGTTCTTCACCTTGATTGGAACTTCGAGTTGGTAGATTTCCTTGCCGTTATCCCGGTAGCAGATAGCAGACGACCCCAAATCTCGGCGAGCTTTCTTAAGCATGGTATCGAGATCCCTGTGGAGTTGCTCGATGATCTCCTGGGAGTTATCAAAGTCTTCTTCGACACCGGACTCAGGAACAAGAATACCATTCTCCTTTGCCTTTGGACGATCGAATGCAGTCTTCCAGTATCGAAGCAGAGAAGCAAGATCGGGCATCGCGGTTGTCAATTGACCAATAATGCTATCGCCTGAGCCGGTGTCACTTTCCTTGAGCAGACCCATGACATAATCGATCTGTTCGAATCCTTCCAAGACACGTACAAAGTCTTGAGCCTTGCAGTTGCCAGCGTGGATACGGGAAATCAGTCGTTCGAGATCCGGCATCTTTGTCAACTGGGAGGAAAACTGGTCCCGGGCAGTGGGATCGGCGTTGAGTGAATCAACTGCATCCAGTCTTGCGTTGATTTTCTTTGAATCAATTAATGGGTGGCATACCCACTGCTTGAACATGCGCTTTCCGAAGGGCGTGATGCATCGGTTGAGCAACTGGAACAGAGTGCCCTCAGACCCGCCATCGAAGGAATTGGCGAAGATCTCCATGTTGATCAAGGTCTGGCCATCCAGTACAAGACTCGTAGCCTTCTTGATAGGATCGTACCATGTAAAGTTGCCAATGGTGATCAAGTCCCGCTCAATCTTCAGCATTCGTAGATATTGAACCAAAGCACCGAATGCACACATCAGTAACTCCTTCTCGCGAGCCTGGCGCAGGGTCTCGGGCCAGGCTGTGAGATTATCATCGTCCGCCGAAACGAAGTACTCGCTTGCCTCAAGCTCGCGAATCGTGATATCAGATTCCCAGAATTCCCTACCAGGCTTCATGAAATTCCATATAGTAGTGGGTCCGGTGTTATTTTTGAGAATGCGCATGGCCTTTTGTGAAACGCAAGATTTCTCCAGCAGCAACTCCCGAGGACGGGTCTGCGCGACAAAAGTCTCGAATTTGGTCATGTCGACATCGTCCACAAACTCAGACAAGAAGAATTGACCCGTAGCAGTGTCGACAAATGAAATACCGAATGCGGGATGCTCGTCCACAATCGCTTCCTTTATCGCAACACAATATGTAGACATATCATCCTGAAGCATGGAACCCTCGACCAGTGTACCTGCAGTAAGGACACATGCAAGCTCTCGCTTAATGATCTTGTCGTCTTTGGTGGGCTTCTTGCCCTCTCTCTCACGCATTTCTTTACCCAGCGCGGATTCAGATTGGTCCACACGGGCAATCTTAAAGCCCTTGGCCACGAATTGGTTTGCCCAGTGATCTAAGCTCATCTCGGGAACACCGACCATGCGCATGTTCACTCTGTCCGTGAGCTTGAGATCGAAAAGCTGGTGACCAATAGTGGCATCGTTCTCGTAGAGCTCATAGAACTTGCCCTTCTTGAAGAAAACGACAGTATCCCAGAATTTCTGCTTGATCTCCCAGTATTGCTTCTCGAAAGGTGAGAATCTGGACCATGCGAGCGGAGGGATGTAGACAGTTCGGGGATCATAGTCAGGGTGGCCTTTAGGGTTGCCGTCAATGTCCTTGAGGTTAGCAAGCCACGAGTAGCGCTGCTCAGGCTCCTTGATATGGGCCTTTTCTTTTCTCGCGCTGGATGCTGTCTTGGAGGACGCTACGGCAGCTCTTTCCTTCCGAGGTTCGGTGTTCTCCGGATCAAACGCCCATTTCTTCGCGGTCCCGGCTGAACCTTCTCCCTCTGGGATATCAAGATCGATGTCATCGACGGGCGGGGGAGGAGCAGGGACGGAGGAAGACTTGGAGGTAGGTTTGCGCGCCGATTGTGTGGATGGTCGTTTCCGCTTGTTGGAAGATGTGGCGATCTCTTCCTCGGAGTCATCTGCAACGACGAAATCGTCAAGTTCTATATCTAGGTTAGTCGTGTACCCGCAAAACCAACCAGCAATAGAATACCATACCATCGTCCGAGTATCCTCCATCTCCTGCCTCATTGAACTCATCTTCGCTTTCTGGCTCAGTTCGTCTTCTTTTGGCTGCACGGCCAGAGACACGGCCATTGCGGTTAGGACGGAAGATAGCCTCATCGTCGTCCTCGCCCTCCGAGTCAGACTCCTTGTAGCTGACCTTCTTTTTTTCCTGTTCAAACAAAATCAGCGAAATAGATCAATTGAGCATTAAAGCGTTATCCCTACCCGACGCGAAGGCGACATGGTGGAGTCCTGTTGTGCCTCTGTGGTGGTCTAAGGAGAGAAAAGTTCAGTCAGAATGAAGGAATAACAAACAGGAGACACCAGATTAATATACCTTTAAAACACTGCCATTATCCTCTTCCTCCTCTGGTACTGGGAGATCGCTACTTGGCACAGGGCTCAAATCCTGCGCAAAACTTGAGAAGCTTCGCTTTTGGTCCTTGGGTGTGGGCTTGACAGCGCTCTCACTACGCTTCTCAGAGGCTCTCTGTGCGGGAGATGATGCGGGTTCTCGCGTCCGATTATTCGAGGGAGTCGCTGGTGAGGACTTTTGGAAGAAACCAAGAATCGACTTCTGGCTTCGCATGTTCTGGGTGCTGGGAGTTGTGCGCTTGAGCGCAGGGGACGACGCGGCGGACGGAGATGAGGCCGATGGTTTGGCCATATTATTTTTTTTTATAGAATATAAGCAAGTGAGACTAAATCCTCATACACTCTCAATTCAACATGGTAATTAGGGGAGTTGTCAGGGAATCGAATACAGACAGGGTGGAGATAAGGCGAGGATCGCGTCGACGCGTAAAGCACTTTCTCCGAGACTCGACCTATCAATTGATCGACACCCGCGACATTGTTTTTCCTCTTTACGAAGTACTTATTTATTAGTTACTTGGGTTTTATTTGTCTTCAAGGGGTGAGGATATAATATTTATAGTATTGTACAGATTGGATATTGTAGAATTACAGATCTAGTGGAGATGTACTCCGTACCTTAGTCCGACTTGGTCGTCTCTGTCGGCTCGGTGGACTCGCTGGACTCGCTGGACTCGGCGGGCTGAATCTCCTCAGTCTCCCATCCAGGAGCTGTAAGCCCTTGTGCGCGGTATTCTTCATCGGTCACAATGTGAACGGCCTTAAGCTTCCACTTGCCCAATTTGAGCATTAGGAGATTGCCATTCAAGACGAACTCCTTCGTTTTGTCCGCCTCCCACGGCCGGATAGGTGTGAAAGATAATTGGTCCGACATGGGACCACTATCACCAGGACGGCTTCCGACTTTGGCGCCGTTGTTGATGATGACTCGGTGACCCTCGCTCTTGGATGAAACAAGACCGGCCGACCACAGAATTTTGTTGAAGGGCTGGTTGAAAACAAGGGATTCTGGAAGGGTGACCTTAATATCGCCCATATTGGCCCAGTTTGTTTGGGAAGCATATGGGTTCCCAGATTGAGGAGTCTGGAACCCAGCGGTGGGAGATTGTGGGTGCCCAGTTTGAGGAGCCGATGACTTAGGAAGAGGGGTGGGCTCTGCGGTTGAGGATCGGGGACGGAAAAGCTGGCGGTGTTGGAGAGCCACGGCATCAGCTTCGGTCTTACCATGAATAAGCTCAACAAACTCAATGGCCAGCTTGTGCTGCGCAACGCGCTTAGATGGATCCTTGTTTTGCTCCTCCATGATGGTGGCGATTTCAGGCAAGGGGATAAAAGTAAACAGCTTGAGGTATTGCTCGACAACATCGTCAGGTGTGCGCACAAAGTACTGGTAAAGTTCGAATGTAGACGTCAGGTCCTTGTCAAGCCAAACGGCATTTCCAGCAGATTTGCCAAGTTTCTCGCCGGACGCAGTTGTCAGTAGCGGCGTAGTGAAACCGATCGGCCGATCTAGTTCTGACTCTAATGGGTTGCGGACTTGTTCGTTGGCGGTGTTTCGGCTGATAGACTTGACAGCCTCCATGCCAAACAGGATGTTTCCGTATTGATCAGCACCTCCGACTTGAATTTGCGTGCCCTTCTGGAAGAGTGTCCACCAATCCCAGGCCTGGAGAATAGGGTAGGAAAACTCGGCAAATGACATGCCATCGCCTTGGTTCAATCGTGTCTTGACACTAGTAGAAAAATATCAGTAAACCCGCGGTAACAATGCTATCAGACTTGTTTGAACTCACGTATCTCTGCCAAGCATAGGACCAAGTCGCATAAAAGCGCCAAGGTCTCGCAACACTTCAAGGAAAGGCATCGAGTTCCACCAAGTGTTATTGTTCTCCAATGCCCGCTTCCACATCGGGTGCCTCTCATGTCCGTGTCTCCTGCCATACTGCTCGATGCTGGAACCCAACTTCTTCAACTGCATATGCATGCTAGCCATATTTGCTTTTCGGATTGAGGAATGGACAGCATCTCGGCCCTTGAGACGCCCACTGGGATCGCCAACTCTAGAAGTAGCACCGCCGAGCTAGAGGGTGTTTGTTAGTCAGGGTATTCAATCGGGCGTGAAATTGCATAACTTACAAGGAATGTCACAGGCAAACCCCAGACGTATCCCCAGGCCAAAACCATGAAAGGAAGCATGTGTCCGACGTGCATTGAGGGGGCAGTCGGGTCAATTCCGACATATATTCCAGCCCGCTTCTCTGTGAAGACCTTATGCAACAGGTCCCGTTCGCTGCAATCCAAAGGAACCGATTAGCGAGCCGTTCAAATGTTTTCCGGCAGCGAATACCATCGATTGCATTGTATCCCGGTGCAACATACCCAACAACATCATGAATCAGACCTCGCTCCTCCAAGTGTTGCGCGAAGTTCTTCCTGTCCCCGGCCTTGATTTCTTCCGCAAACCCAGCCCACTCCTTCTTACCGTCTTTCATACGCTGAATATGCTTTTGTGTAATCCATCTCTGCTGCTGGAAGCATGTCCCAGACTGCGAAGAGGGCAATACTGGCCGAGTGCTGTTACCGCGCAGCGGAATTGCTGTTGTTGCGGCAAAACTGCGCGCTCCGCACGGGATCCGACGGCGGGTGAGAAGGCTGCGGTATGGCGCTTGGCCGAGCGATGTCGACTGTGGCCGCATTGGACCGGTTTGGGAATGCGAATATTAATAAAATGGGTCGCAATGGACTCAAGTCTAAACACAATCAATCTCCAGGGCTAGCTCCAGTTGTCCGAGATTCTTTCGATAAGTCCGGAATATTAATGATGCGGCCCTTATCTCTGACATGTTGATCGATTGCCCAATCGGGTCTGTATTAAGGGCTTAGGGCCATAGAAGTATGCAACATATAGTTATAAGATGCTGTGTTGGAACAATAGTATCTCTATGGATAAAACACGATGGTAAAGTCCAAAGACGACCAACTTGGGGTGTTACCTTAACCCACAAAAACCTGTACAGAGGCCTCGTTACTCCATCCACTGTCCAACTTCATGGATTTCCATGCCGCCAATACATCAATTGCCAGCACATTAGCATTCTCTCCACCTTGCTTCCACACTGTATTCCGTGGGATTGGCTGACCCAGAATCATGACCATGAAGTTCTGTTCAATGCTCCTGTTTTGAAGATCCGAGAAGTAGATCCCCAGAGTCCCCAAGGCTTTCAAGCTGATATCGACTCGCAAACGGCCGTTCTCAACAACAAATATATCCGAACTCACTACAGCAGCTGCGCCAGTCATCTTTCCTAAAAGGCCCAGCACAGCCACATGTGTCGGACTGACATTGTTGCCGTGGTTTCCCGTCAGCTGGAACGATCGGGTGGGATAAGAAGTGAGAATTTCCCACCCCTTTGGCTCCAGGACAACTGATACCAAGGAGTCCCGGATTGGCCGCATGCGGTGCGAGATCTTACCGCTGCTGTGTGCGCGCACGATATACTGGCCTTCGGAGTCGTCGTGAATTCCCGGGAAATCCATCAGCGAGACTATGCTCGACGCCTCCGTAGATTGAATGTTAAAAAGGCCCAAAATTCCACTTCCGGTTTTGGCCCAACCGGTGTAGCTTCCGACGCGCAGAACATGTCCTTCGTTGTAGTCGTGGTATATGTCTATGGTGCGTCCGATGACACTAGGACGCAAGATCACCGTGATTCCTTTTACGGTAGGTGCAGTCATCTGATCGAGCAGGGTCAGGTCATGTTTTCCCGGTTCATCAGTGATATAGATTGGTCCTCCAGATACACATCGTGCTGCCGCGTGGAATGATGCGTATGCGTGACTTGTCTGGAACATATCCCAGTCTGGCAATACGTTCAGATATCGGGTAAGTAGTGCATTGTGAGCATTGCAGAATACATGCCACGGATGCGAAGGAACAACATCTGGAAAGAAGTCGTCGGAGTTTCGCAACGGAAGTGTCGGTTTGTTGGTGGGCATTTGTGAATGGAAAATTATTTGAGGGGTCATTGACCCGCATGATATTGACCGAGTACTAAAGTGTTGGAGTGACGCGATAGACAATGCATCTTGATAAGAAGTCATGAATCTTCGGCGGTCCGCTGGATCCTCGAGGAGATCGAGGAAGAATTGTGCATCGGTCTTGACTGAGTCGATACCGGCAGATGTAAGGTAGCTATAGAACTCGTCATAGAACAATTTAATATCATCGGGGTCAATGGCAAGGATTGTTCCATCTGGAAGATTCTCCGCCATGGGCCCATTAGCGGCGGGATCTTTGATCTTCACTTGCTTTGTTTTGAATCTTTGAGCCAGATCTCCATCTGGTGAAATACCCCCCCAGTAACCCAGCAAGGCGTGCCAGACCGCAACATGTTCAATATTGGGATGTGCTTGGCGAATACCTTCCACGGTATGCTTCAATCCTTTGGGAAATCCTTTGGAATGTGCCTCAAACTGCTTCCAGCCTTGGCTGAACTGAGACCCCCTTCATTATCGTTTGTCTGCCAGCCATCATCGATAATAAGATTGACGATATTGATCCCATTCGCCTTCAATGAGTCCAAGGCATTCAAGATCTTCTCCTCGCTGAGGTCCTGTCCCAGTCCATTCCAAGTACAATATGTGAGACCGTCAAACCACTCAGAAAGCCACTGTACACTTGGGTCTTTCTCGACAAGAACCATATCATCACCAGGGGGAGACAATGGGACCGAATCTTCCAAATCCAGATGAGCCGCATCCGCAAATGGCCTGACCACTTTCCGTGCCTCATAAACTACTGCTGACATGGCAACTTCGAAATTCTCTGCGGTGCTGACAAGCACTTCGAAATTCGATGGTTCTGAATCGTCACTCCTTGCGGAGATCACAACCTCGCCGTTCTCGCCTGACTGGAACACGGTCAAAACATCGTTGACTCCGGAAACAGCCAGTAGAACAAGATTCACGCCATCTTCGCGCAGAAAAGAGCAAAGTATTGCGTCCTCGGTAAGTCGGAAGCTTTCCTTGCCATGTCTAGGACCCAGCCATGGGCTCGAAACACGTACTAGTGATAGATACCTCACCACCGACGAAGGGGTGCCAAGCGCAAGTCGTTTGATGCTTGAGGATCCATTTTGAGCACCGTCTATATCACCCAAAATTGCCCAGAGGACCGATCCAGGAGCCTCACTACGCCGTGACTCAATTTGCAAGTCATCATGAAGATTATCAATGTACTTCGCCAGTTGCTCTCTAGGAGCGCGTGCGGCAACATCAGTGCACACAGCCTTGTCCAGATCGGAATGGCGTGCGCTATATACAATTTCACCGTCAGCGACGGGATGTTTTTGATTAGCCCACTGCCATTCCGTATCTGGTCCAGTTCGGAACCGGACAGTGAACTGGGCATGACCTCCCGCGGCCGGCAGGGATATCTCTTCTGAAAATACATAGCGATGGTAGTGGTAGTCGCTATCACTTCCGGTCAAAAGAGCTGCATGATCTGTGTCACGTTTCTTCAATGGCAGAGATTCCCACTCGGGCCTAGTGATGTTATGCCAGATCTGCGCTTCCCATGATTGTGTGGGGAGTGAGCTGCTGGACTCGATGGTAACCGTGAAACGCAGCTTCGGTTAAGTTAGTATGTTTTTGCATCCTAGCTTCAATAAATGTAGGAAAATATTGTTGGCAACATCAGAGATGATGATATTGAGAGACTCACCGCATCTTCTTCAGATCGTAATGCCTTCGGTGCCGGTTGGATACAAGTGATTTGTCCCAGCGGGGGATAGGATGTCACCCGTGCAAACATAGACATTTGAGCTGCACTAATAAATAATGCTTGTGGCTGTCGAGCGCTTTGGCTGGGGCCCTGAATCGGGAAGGTTGAGGTATCTCTATTGTTGACCTGCATTGAAGAAAGGTAGGATGTTGGATCAAGTGTCTCGCCCGTCAGTGGAAAATAAATAATAAAAGAAAAGTGTATTTATGAGGTAACTCAGAGGAGACTATAGAAAACGTGTATGCTTGAGTGTACCAGAGAGAATGAATCTTGCAGTGCAGGTGGTCGGTTTTAACTCCTGGGGGGGAAGTGGCGGGGAAGTGACCTGGGCAGTTGCCTGTCTACCAACCAGAATGAGCCCTCACCTCAACACCAAACATCAACATATCACGAACTACCAGTTGCTATAGTCGACTTTGTACATTCTTAACAACTACGGAGACACTTCAGAAAAATGCTTAACATAGACTCCCTGGGACAGTTTTGAAAATGGCAGGCCCCACTATCAAACCTTGAATCATGGTTTATTCAAGAGATTTATAGATTCAAAGGACGAAGGATAAAAAAAGAGGATAAACGCGAGAACTACCAGACGAAGCGGAACAGTCCAGGTAGTGGAAGATCTTCGGCACTTCCCTCGTAGTAGACAGGTGCAACCTGTTACCACTAGGCCTGCTGTTGGAGACACTAGTATTAGGTTGCACTTCCTTTTAACTTGCAATTTCCAAATTTGGAAGGCAATCCCAACATACACCAGTAAGACTTATTTTACATTGACAATGCTTCCTAGCCTCTTGCCATCCAATTGCTTAGTTGATCTTGATAGCCAACTTGCCAAAATGCTTCTGGGCCCACTGAATTCCAATATGTTAGCATGCAATCCCTTTTTCTCTGATAAAAATCAACTTACCATATAATGATAGGCTTCCCGTGCCTCCTCAAGGCTGAACACCTTCTCATCCACCACAGGGTGGATATCATTGGCCTCAATGGCTCGGATCATATCCCTCATGAGAGCTTTGCTGCCAACATAAACACCACGCACAGTGCAGATATGAGTCAATGTCTCCAGAACAGTCGGCTGTGTCTTCGGGTCGACACCTCCAAGGAACCCAATAACACTGATGACACCCTCGAACTTGACGCACTTGAAGCTCTGCTGGAGCGTTCCGCTACCGCCCACCTCGATAATGTGGTCCACACCAGCTTCGTCAGGAGTTAGCTTGCGAGCAACCTCACCCCAGTTGGGCTCAGTCTTGTAGTTAATAACGTGATCAGCACCGAGCTTCTTGAGCCTCTCAGCCTTCTCTGCAGAAGAGGTTGTCGCAATAACTATCGCGCCAGCAGCTTTGGCGAACTATAAGGCTGTGTTAGCCGAGTCCATTCTAATGGAGTAGATATGAGCTTGGTACTAACCTGCAAGCCAAACATACTGACACCACCAGTTCCTTGCACGAGAACGACCTGGCCGGGCTTCAGAGGCTTCAGGCCATATAGTGCATTCCAGCTGGTAAGCGCTGCGCACGATAGGGTGCTGGCTTCGAGGGCATCGAGGTTTCTTGGCGCCTTGACAAGACCCCGTTCATTGAATACGCCATATTCGCGCAGCGTACCGTCAATCACACCACCTAGGCCAGTACCCGCTGCGAGTGTGTCAATATCGCCGTATTGGTGGCCCTGATTGAAGAGAGTGGCAACGTGGTCGCCCTTTCTGAATTCAACAACCTTGGATCCCACTTCAATAACTTCACCGGCGCCATCGGAACCTGGCACCACGGGAAGACTCAGAGCAAATGGATAGTGGCCCTGTGGGAAAGAGGTTAGAGGTCGGTTATGGCAAAGAAATCATCTTGCGCAGACAATTCAATCAAGATTGAAAATGTCGGGTTTTCTCTTGCAAGGCCATACCTTAGGAATAACCAGGTCGCGATAATTCAGTGACGCAGCTTGGAGCTTCACCAAAACTTCATTTTCGCCGACCTTCGGAACAGCAGCGTCCTTGTAAACAAGGCCGTCAAAGTCGTGTTCCTTATCTTCAACGACCCATTGCTTCATAGTAGAGGGAGACATTTTACAGTATAAGATAGATCACTATACGACAAAAGAGTGTACAAGTAGGACAAAATAATTTATGGTGGGGTTGAGGGGACCTTATATAAAAACTACTGACGTATTTGACGAATGTCTGTTTTGGGCGAAAGATCCACCCGGCCCCGGGGCGACGGAAGGATTATTAAGGATTATTAAGGATTATCAAGACGGATTATTAACCTTGGAAGGAGGCCTATCCACCTAGGTAGGTAAGTAAGTCGTTGCTTGATTGTCTTTGAGGATCTAGCTTCAATTGTATCGAGAAGAATCAAATTAAAGATATATTGATATATTAAGGTTCTACGATATATATTTGTCAAGTTGTCAGAGAAATGCGTATTTCCGTGAAAAGGAAAGCCAAGAGGGCCATTCTGAGCTTTAGACGGAATCAAAAGATACAAAGCGAGAAACAAGAAGAGGAAGAAGTGGAAGGGGAAGGGGAAGAAGGTTTGATATTGGAGAAGCGCAAGCACAGCGTATACTTCCCGCGGTCAAAGTCCGGGGTCGCCGGCCCTTCGCCCACAACACTCCTTAGCTATGAACCCAAAACCCTTACATTCAAACTACACTTAATCGACTTTCGCCTTACCACACATCCTCTCAAATATCATTGAATTAGCCATGCCATCTGTGAAAGAAGGCCGAGTCACCAAATCAAAAGCCAAGAGACCGCGAACCACAACCCGACGCGTCTCCAACAAAAGTGAGTAACTTCCACTATGGCAAGCTAGTTCAGCCCCCAAACCTGTTTTATTGATCTACATGATTCGATGACATTCAATTAATGACGCGTGCTAAATAACCCCTCAGTGCCACTGGTCGAACAGACCAACGCACTATCCATTGACGACTTCATCGCTCAATACGTGACTCCACAAACACAAGTGGGAGATGCAGCCAAAAAGGATGCAACTGATCAACAAACTCCATCCCAAGATCAGCAACAGCAGGATATGACCCCCACACCACACGTGGACGTCTACTCCGCGGCAACAATCTCCACCGCTGATCTGGAAGCATGTCTGGATCTAATCGAGCAAACCTCGAGCGAAGCCTACAGCGCGTCGCCCACAGGCTGGTCGCGTACCAAGAAGCGGAAAGAGATGAAGTTGCCCGACATGAAGTATTTGATTCTGCGGGATACGCTGAACAATTCCAGTGATTCTAGCGGGCAAGTTCCTGGAGAGGAGCAGAGTGATATTAATGACAACAATCCTTCGTCTTCACCTCCCCAGGAAAGCGACGAGTCTATTCCATCGTCTGGCACCGGTTCTCCAAATGTGCTCGGCTTTTTATCATTTATGGTTACCTACGAGGATGGAAAGGAGGTTCTTTACTGCTACGAGATCCACTTGTCGCTGGCGGCTCGGGGACGGGGTGTCGGGAGATTGCTTATGGGCCAGATGGAGGGAATCGGTCGTGCTGTCGGCTTGGAGAAGACTATGCTGACGGTTTTTAAGTCGAATGAGATTGCTCGGCGGTTCTATGACCGGCTTGGGTATGAGGTTGATGAGTACTCGCCCCGACCGCGTATGCTGCGCAATGGAACTATTAAAGATGTGGACTACTTTATCTTGTCGAAGGTGTTGAAATTATGATAGCTGGATATCGCTTTGTTAAGGGGTTGAATGCTAATGGTTGATATGAAGTGCAAAAGTTAATATACATCACACCTGTCGCACCTCTTCGCCCACCCGATCCGGACGTTCTTGCTCCCACTCGTCTCTGAGAGCGGCGAAGACGGTGTCAGCTAACAGGATGGAGAGACCCAAACTCCAAACCAGAGTAATGGCGTAGAAGAAATTGGCATTTCCGGATCCTGCGTAGATCCAAAGGTGGTAGAAAGCCGGGCCGAGGAGGCTGGAGTACAAGATTGCGGAGCCCGCAAAGAAGGTATACCGCATCACTGTACAAAGTTAGATTCTGAAATATATACTCAATGCTTGGGAATACTCACATGGGAACAGGTGGCGATATAATGGCAGCAACGCGAAGAACAGCGACGCATCTGAGATGCTAGGGTATGGCTTGAAGATGGCGAAGACACCCAAGAGCGAGGTAATGACGAACAGAGGTTGGCTGCGGAATCGAGCTGTGAGGCCCCCGACATAGCTGGCCAAGTGAAGCCAGAAAACGCCGAGGAAGAACTCTCGGAATGAGTCGAACATCTCAATGAAAAAATACCACCACAGCCCCACATTGGGGGTCAAGTCTGGCACTAACAGATGGAAACCATATGTTGCCGAAACAAACTCCCAGAAGTTGCCGGTGATCAGACAGGAGAGGCCAAGCAGGCCCGCCACACTGGCCAGTAGTAGGGCAGCATGTTGAACAATAAAAGATCCAACATTGGGTGGGCTTAGTCCCTCCAAGCGTCGGTCATAGCATAGTAGGACCAACGGGATAAAGAGCAGCGCTGGGTATAGAGACAGATATGAAGCGAACCCCAGGGCTAGCATTGCATTGATGCTATTTCCACCGACTGCATTGGAAACAGCGAAGAGGATCCCTGATGTCGTAAATACGCTGGTTGATCGCGCTAAACATGTCGCGATTGTAAGGGGGTTAAACAAAAACCTATTCAGTGGTAAGCATGTGAACACATATGATTGGACAGGCCAAAAGATGCATACCATGCTGCAACGGACACTCCATCCCATCGGACATGTTTTCGGACCGCTGAGTGTAGTCTCGATTTAACCGATTGGCCCGACGCAGAAATGGTTAACAATGCGTGTGCGTTCAAGAGGTCGACAATGAAGTAGAAAATTGCGGTTGGTAAAGGCGAGCTCTTTGCATCCGGGAGTAGTGCGAACAGAGGTAATAGGAGCGGCGCCTAGATCATCGGATCGAATTGTCAATTCAAGGAACGGAGTCGGAGGGATCTAGATCCACGAACCTGGTGGAAGACGCCACCGTCATAAGGCGACACATTTCTTGTGTACAAGAATAGACCCTCTTGCACTACATATAATTAGCTTAGAGAATGCGGAGTCAATAGTCGGAGACACGTACGGCGTTTGAAGCTATTGACTGGGGTGGAAACTTCGACTCGCCCCGTTAACAAGTCAGGTAATGAAGGAAAAAGACAGGTAAGAAGTAGACGCAGCACAAAAGCTGCGCCGAACACAACAATCTTCCGTCGGTCTACAGCCATGACGGAGTGAGGGTTTAGTTGTTTGATTTCCAGCTGGTCCCTATGGACCCAGGGCTCTCTCTCCGCCTTCAGGCACGGACCACTTCTGTTGCGGTAAGAAAAAAAAGTTATCGAGAAATTTTCTTCTTCTTATCAGCAGCCGTTTGGATCATTTGACAACCATTTTTCATCATGGGTAAAGTTAAGAAGAAGGGTATGTTGAAATGAACCGGAAATTTCAATTGAATTTACTGACACTTCTTTCAGGTACCTCTGGCGCAGCCAAGAACTACATTACCAGAACCCAGGCCGTGCGCAAACTTCAGATCTCTCTGCCAGATTTCCGCCGACTATGCATCTTCAAGGGTAAATTACCTCTTCTATGGGTATTCCATATGAATCGCAAGACTAACATGATATCCGATATCAGGTATCTACCCTCGCGAGCCCCGTAGTAAGAAGAAGGCCTCTAAGACGTCTACGCCCAACACCACCTTCTACTACACCAAGGACATCCAGTATCTGCTACACGAGCCCCTGCTCAACAAGTTCCGTGACCAGAAGTCACTTGCAAAGAAGATCGCCCGCTCTCTCGGCCGTGGAGAAGTCAGCGATGCCTCCCGTTTAGAAAAGAACAACGCCCCGAGACTCACCTTGGACCATGTCATTAAAGAGCGCTACCCGACCTTTATCGATGCCCTCCGTGATCTCGACGACGCTCTGTCTCTTCTCTTCCTCTTCGCTACCCTTCCCTCCACCGACCATGTTCCTTCTAAGACCGTTGCGCTCTGCCAGCGCCTTTGCCATGAGTTCCAGCACTACCTGATCATGACCAACTCTCTGCGCAGATCCTTCCTTTCAATTAAGGGTATCTACTACCAGGCTACGATTCAGGGCCAAGACATTATGTGGCTCGTGCCATACCGTTTCGTCCAGCGTGTCAATGGCGACGTCGATTACCGTATCATGGCTACCTTTGTCGAGTTTTACACTACCCTTTTGGGCTTCGTTAACTTCCGCCTGTACTCCTCAATCGGATTGAGATACCCCCCTAAATTCGATACCCGCAGTGATGAAAATGGTGCCGAGTTGGCAGCTTTCACTCTTGAGGGCCGCACGGTGGGTGAGGTGCCCAAGGCTCTTGAGGCTAGCAAGGCTCAGAGCAACGGCAACTCCAACAAGGAAGTTTCCAAGGAACTTCAAGCCAAGGTTGATAAGGTGATTAAGAAGGCCGGTTTGGAACAGAGCACGGACGAGGAGATGGTCGACACTACCGACGAGGCAACCGATGCCATCGACCACTTCGAGCCCGCCGCTCCCGAAGCCGACACCCTCCCCCAGCCCGCGATGAGCGGCAACGAGGCCGGTGCACTCTTCGCCCCCTTCGTGTTCTACATTTCCCGTGAAGCCCCCAAGGCTCCCCTCGAGTTCATTCTCCGCTCATTCGGCTGCAAGCGCGTTGGATGGGCCTCCGTTCTGGGCGATGGAGCCTTCACCCACGACGAGACCGACCCTCGCATCACTCACCAAATTGTCGATCGTCCCCAACTTCCCCAGGAGTCTCTTCCCGCCATTCCCGCTGCCGATGAGAACGCCGTTCAGAAGGTCCAGCCTGGATCCCGCATTCCTGGCCGTACCTACGTCCAGCCCCAGTGGGTCTGGGACTGCATTAACGAGGGCAAGCTCCTCCGAGCTGATCTCTACGCACCCGGTACCACTCTCCCACCCCACTTGAGCCCTTGGGTCAAGGCCACTCGTGGCGCTTACGACCCCCGCGCCACACTCGCCGATCAGGAGGATGAGGATGAGGCCGAGATTGCCGCCGAGGCCTCTGATAGCGACGAGGAGATGGAGGACGAGCCCGCGGTTGACGCCAAGCCTGCTACTGCCGAAGAGTCTGACGAGGAGTCTGTCGACGGAGGCATGGATGTCGCCGGTACTGACGACGACGAGAGCGATGAAGAGTCCGAGGAGGAAGTCGAAGACTTCGGTGGCTTTGATGAGGAAGCCGCATCCGAGTCCGAAGACGACGACGAGGCTGCCCGCACTCAGCACCAGAAGGAGCTCGAGGCCGAAGCCGCTGGTCTGCCTTTCACCGCTAACGCCGCCGCTGATGAAGCTGCCAAGAAGAAGAACTCCAAGTCCAAGAAGGTTGCCGCCAAGAAGCGCAGCGAGGACGAGGAGCTCGAGAGACAGAAGATGATGATGAGCCGGAAGAAGCGCAAGCTGCTTGAGAAGATGATGTACTCTAACAAGAAGACTGCCGATGAGTCCGCCAAGCTCCGCTCCAAGAGACGCAAGTTTGAGAAGGGCGAGAAGGACGAGAAGAACTAAAGCTCGGATCATTTGTGCATGTTAGATAGTGCTTTTGCCGGGCGTTGCGGTTTGGATATGTCCCCTGTATAGGCACCTCAAAAATTTGTGAAGTTTTAATGCTATTTATGGGGTAACACCCCAGTTATATGTATAACTTTTGTTCTCTGCCATCTTTGATACCCCGTGTAGTTCAACTGGTCAACCTATCGCTAGGCGTAGGATATTGGCGTGCGCCTTGCCCATGTTTTCAATGGCGTTCTGTGCATCCACGTGAACACGCGCGACCCATCAGTCAGATTTGTGACTTGGGCAAGATCATCACGAAGCACTCAGAGCTACACAACATACCCAAAGTGTTCGGGCCCCTCCCGAGGACATCTTATTGGTGAGTCATCCCTCGGGTCACATCCGAGGTCTCACGTACATTTGCTGATGTTTTCACTTTGGGATACGTCAAGTAGTATCAGCACACGCAAGCTATAAACAAACCAATCAACCATGGCATCAAACAAACCCCAAGTTGTGGGATGGATAGGTACGGCAAGGAAGAACAATCACATCGGGCTTCACGTTTCTAATTCCCCCTAGGACTCGGGAGTATGGGACTTGCAATGGCGCAAAATGTCCAAAGATTTCTCCAACGGGATATGAAATCACAATTAAGATTCTGGAATCGGACGGCGTCTCGCGGCGCACCACTTGAATCACTTGGGGGCATTGGATGCGAGTCTATTGCCCAACTTGTCGCTGACTGCGACTTGATATTCATATCTGTGAGTATATGAATCGGCATTCACAAATCCCCGCAGATCTAGCATGTGCCTTTATCACTAACATTGAGCAACAGACCAGTGATGATACAGCTCTGAATGCTATTATTGACCAAATATTAGCTGTCAAAGATATCGATGGCAAGTTGTTTGTGGATACTACCACCGTCCATCCTAATACGAGCAGGGATACAAATGAAAAACTAAAGAAACTAAATGCATCCTTCGTTGCTGGTAAGTAAAACCCACCTCCGTCATGTTTTGTGGTTTTCTCATGGACTACACCAGCACCTGTCTTCGGAGCCACCCCAGCCGCAGAAAGTGGTACAGTGTTGATGGCGATGGCTGGCCCAAGTCAAGCCATTGATCAAATTGCACGTTTCGGAAAAGGTGTCATTGCCCGGGATGTGATGATTGTCTCGGATCAGCCCGAGAAAGCCACTCTTCTCAAAACTTTGGGGTGAGATTGTAACCAATATAAGATATGATAGGTAGTTGTCTGACTGACACTATTTAGCAATTTTCTCGTCGCAGGCACAATGGAGATCGTGGGAGAAGCCCAGATGCTAGCAGAGAAAAGCGATCTCGGCACTGACATGCTTGAAAAGTTGCTTGAGCTGAATTTTGGAGGTTTGATGCATTCCAGCTCTAGGCGCATGACGCAGGGCGTTTACCTGCCAGAGGAAGGTATGAATATGGCGTCAATTGAGAAAATCGATTTGTTCTTCTTTTGCTGATCATATAATTTAGGTCAAGCCCCTTGGTCCAACCTCAATCTCGGTATTAAGGATGTTCAGCATGGCATCAGTTGCGCCGAAAATATCGGTTCGAGATTAAAAGTCGCCGAGGTGGCACTGGATCATATGGTACGGGCGAGGGACTTCTCGGATGCGCATGGCGGCCGGCCTTTGGATTCATCGTCTGGGTACGGTGTCATACGTCAGGATTCTGGGCTTGACTTTGAAAATACCTTTGTGAAGGAACGTGACGCCAGGAAGAAAGATGAATAGTATATTTCGGCATACGCAGTCAGGAGTCCCGGGGTGGTGAGAACACTTACAACAGCTCTCGGGATCACTTCCAAGCTTAGAATATTTTGGATTATAAGTGACTGAGTATGTAGGTGTTACACGCCTTAAGCTATCTTCATAACACTGGCTTTACTCCATCACTGCTTCGGATAGAGGCTAGTGCATAGCCTATTTACCATCCTTCTGTGGCTTCTTATTCCTTTGAAGGGTATCTTCTAATTAGTCAAAGATCATCTCTCAGAAGAGGTTCACCGATGTAGTTACTCTAGGCTCGCGGCCGATATTTCCCAAGTTGAAGATAGGTCCGATTAAGCTCCCGAGGCCGAATATGAGCCTCGAGGCCCCGTACTCTTATACCGATCATTAGATTCCAGAACGGAAATGAGAATATTCATGAGATTTATACTCATCGTTCTATTTACTTCAGTCACTCTATTGTATCTCTCAATTTGGTCACGAAATCACCATCCAACCGTCGCCGAAATGTCTTTCCGTTTACATCTCATCCGACATTCAGAGGGAACCCACAATCCCAGTCACGACATAACCATTCTCGACCCTCCGTTGACAAAAAAAAGGAATACAAGAATGTCTAAAACTCTGTCAAGACTTTCCGTTCAAGGAAAGTGTTGGCCTGGTGATGACATCTTCACTCCGACGCACTCTTCAAACAGCGCTTCTAGGCTTCCAGCAAAGCATCGATGCGAAATATTACGTACAAGGCTCCAGGGCAGGAGTTAGAAATGGCGCGTGTCTTTTGCTAGAACCAAATTCACAGGCACACTCCGCCTGGCCATGTGATTCTAGCTCAGATATTGCGATTTTACGTTCGGAGTTTTACGATCTCCCATGGGAAATGTTGGATTTGGATCCTATATTCCCAGCAAAGGAGGGACTTTATACCAGTGATACCGAGAACTTGGAGTTGCGCGGAGTACGAATCCGAAGTCGATTGGAGCAGAAATTCAAAGAACTCAAGGACAGCGGAAGACCTGATATTGTCGTTGTCACACATAGCGGGTTTTTGGGATTCGTCATCGACCAGGAGAAAACAGAAGTTGGACAGGCAAAGTGGAAGAGTTTTATTGTTATAATTAGATAGAGCTGAAAGTCTATATTAATATGGGAATACCATCATTACTTTCTTCACATATATATATATATATATATATCTCTCTCTCTTTCTACTAATCTCTCGTGCACATGCAACTATTCATGTAGATTAAGGTTACGCCAATAACGTAGATCTGATTGGCCTATTGTTAGAGTTGTGGGGAGCGCTAAACCCTATTGAGGAACTGGCCCCGATGGCACTGGAAAGCAGAGCAGCCCAGACATCTAATCGGTGATCCTAGCTCATCTGAGTACTGTGATTGGGGCTGAAATAACAATGGGTGCTTTTAAAGCCCACTCGGATCAATGCAGTTCCTCCTGGCTCTTACATAGAATCATCGGGCTTTGCAAGTGAGCTTGAAGGTGTTCCGGAAAGAGGGGCTCACGCTATCATAATACATGTTATACAACATAGTCTTGCGACTATCTATTTGGCGACTCAAAGCTCGCCGCGCCTCCAAGTCCGAGGTACCTGATTGTTCCACAGTACCGCGTCGGCCTCACTAGAGCAGTGTGCCGCCGGTGTACTTTCAAAACTTGATCTAGAATTAATAGTCGCTTGGAGCTGGAGTAATCACCGGAATCCTATCATAGTGATAGGAATAGTAGAAATTACATAGGGCAGAAACCTGGAACATATAGATTGCCATTTTGGGACTAGCGCACTTATTCTGGGTGTATATGGATCACGTGCCGGTATGGGTGATCCACCCGCCTGGAATTTTTGACATCTTCAAGGCTCAGGAACAATCAAACCGTTGGGCAAAAGAGTCAAAATTCACCATTTCAAACACCTGTTACCGAAATTACTCACACTGGATGTCCTCTTGACCTTTAAATCGGATGTTATCCAATAAAAATCCGCATCTATGTGACATCTAGGCACTGCAGGTCTAAACCCTTTGCGCATATCACGGCAAGAGACCAAAGTTTCTTCCCAACATGTCATCTTTGTATGGAAGCCAAGTGCCCTGGCCAGAACTGCTTCCGCCGCAGTCTGCCCAACCACACCAATCATTATTTGGAGGCCCAAGCAGTGATGTCGTGCAACCTTCTTCTCAGCCAGAACCGCCAAGAAATTCTCTTTTTGGAGGCCCCATCAATCCAGATGTCCCTTCAGAGCCTCTTTCTGAAGCAGATCCCATGGATGAGGAGCCAGATCAAAATGAATTTGACACGATAATGCGAGAACAGCCCTTGGCGTTCCAGAGTGACTCTGATGACGAAACCTATGAAGACAATACTCGTGGCAGAAGTCGCATACGCTCAAAATTGCCACAGAAGTCTCAACGTGAGCCAATTCACTACGTAGTTGACCGAGGCCTTGACCTGCCACCTGGAGTTGAGCGTCCCAATTTGTTTGATGGACACGCCACTTCGTGGAGGAACTACAATGCCGATGAAATCGGAGCCTATAATGCAATGGTTACTCACCGAACCAGAGATTTGGCGGCGCACCTTTACAATGCCCACGTTATTCGCAGGCGAGCGCGGGACACTGCCCGGAAGAACCCTGGGGTCATTGAAAAAGCGCCACTCCGTGTGAACAAGAGATGGGCTGCATGGCCTGTTCATGCGGCCACAGTTCCCCGCTCCAATGAGATGATACAGAGGAAAATGGACGCCCCTGATATTTTTCAAATGGAACCTGATTCCCGACCCAGTGCGGAATTGGAAGAATGCATCACGGCGTTCATATTGAAGACCTCCAAGGAGACCTTCCAAGCCCGAGAGTTGAATTTCGAGGAAATTGAAAATAAGCCCCGGAATAAGATGCTCGACGGGGATGAATTGATGGACGATGAATTGGAGAAAAAGGAGGACGACGAAGAAGAAGAGCCTGTCGATACAAGAATACTCCGACCGACAGTCCTCATCGACGAGGACAAATCCATTCGCCTATTACGTCCGCTAGCCCGCAATGTGATCTCACAAGTAGACCGCCTGCTATACGGACTTCATTGCGCCATAAAGGGTCGCAAGTTCGAAGAAGATTCTGATGACGAGCAATGGAGTGATTCAGATAAAGAAGATTATCTGACTCGAGAGAGCCGCAAGAGCAGAAGCAGAAGTCGATCGCGCGGTCGACGAAGTGCTCGACAGGAGTCTCAGGAACGAGGCTTATCACGCCGCTCCAACAGTGCACGCATATCCACCGGAGTGACCGGACTAGAGAAGGAAGATGAAAACTTGCCAGGTGTTTCCCAACCCCGAGCGCAATCTCGCGACTCTATTGGCCACGATAACAATCAACACACCAAAGGCAGACTCAAACTGCGAGACTGGAGTGAAGTTATGGGACTGGCATCAATGATGGGCCTTCCCACCCCCGCAGTAATGCGCGCGTCAAAGCGATGCGCCGACCTTTTCGGCGAGGATATGGAATTCCGAATCATGCCTGAAGGCAGGGTAAAAAAGCGAAGCAAAATAGGTGCTCGAGAAGAATATGCCTATACCGAAAGCGACAGCGAGATCGACTCGGCACCACCAAGTCCTCAGCCAATCCCTCCGCAAACCCCCCAGCCAAATCGCAGGCAGACCACCAAACCTCCGCCTGAACGGAATTCCCCGGCGAAGATACCCAAAGCCAAAGCGGTGACACCCAAGCCGAAACCCAAGCCGAAGATTCCGAAATCCAACACGAGAACACCAGGCCAGCGACGCTCGAAGGCACACAAGAGCCCTGCAATCGTTCCTCCCTCGGCATCCCCATCCCCAGCCCCGGAAGAGCCGACAGAACCAGTGGCGGAACCTACTGCAGAGGACACAGAACAAACCGCCGATCAGGAGCCAAAGACGGCTAAACCAGGCGTTGGAAAGGGGCCTCATCGGAAAGTAGATATCCTCTGTCCTGTCAGGACTTGCACTCGACATACAAATGGGTTTTCACGAAAATGGAACCTGAACCAGCATTTGAAAAAGGCGCATGGTATACATGTTGCTCCTGGGAATGAAGCCTCGATTGAGCAGGATGATCGGGCTATCGTACTCGAATAGGTTGTCTGGTTTATGGAGGTTAGTCCCGGCTTGGTCAAAACTCTTTGTGATCTGCCTTCCGGACTGGGCTGAAAATTAGAATTCCAATAAAACATGTTCCTAGTATAGCCATGGTGCAGTCAGTGAGTTAGTAGAGAGCCGATGGTAATGCCAGATAAAAGCCACAGAACGGAGTAACTGCTGGCAAGTGTCTATCACTAAGATGTCTACGATTCGTGATACTCTTCAGTATGCCTCTTTCTAGGTTACTAGTGCGGTCGATGAATGTAATCCATACCTTTTTTTTCCTGTTTTTCTCTTTTCCACCGGTAACCAAATGAGCGAGGTAACCAAAACGATTATATTATGAAAAGTATTAAAGAATTGAAAAAAAAAAAAAAAAAGATTGTCACCCATATAGCTTCCCTCGGCGGAAGCTCCATCCTCCGGTGTTGGCCTGGTCGAGTCCAGCAGACCTACTTGGCTACCGTAATAGCCTCTGTGTGACTCCGGAATCGATTCGGCCTTTTCTGGCCGTACTTCCTGCGACGGCTGGTCGACAACAGCAGAGTCAACCAGCGAAGCGCCAGATCTCTCTTCGGGCCTGCCCGGTTCATCTCTTTGGTCACGAGCTCCAAGTCCATCATTCTGTTCGAGTCCCAGAAGCTTACGCCGAACTTGTGGAAGTCTCCACGAAGGCCAGCGTCTCTCACAACCGTGTGAAAGCACTTCTGTGCAAAAAATGGCCCGAGAAGCGACTCATCTTGGAGGGTCCGTAGGCTCGCGAGTTGCCCATTGTACGACCTGGTAAACTTTGGGCAGCAGGTCGTAAACTTGGCTTCTCGCTTGCCTAGCTTTCCGTACGTTCGTCTCTGCCACTCTTTCCAGGTAAGGATGGTCTCCAGCTGTTCAAGTGATGCGTCTTCCCTTAGAGTCATTTGACCCATGTCAGTGTCTTTTAAAGGCCCCCAGAAGCCTACCACCGCATCCTTTTCGAGGTCCTGGAGTGTTGCTTCCCGTGGAATTTCAAGGGAAGAGGGAGTGGCGTTGGTTGTCAAAACCTTTTCTTCGCAGACCATACGGCGCAGTACCGAGAAAATGTACGGCTTTAGCAGGGCGTGGATCAACCGCTGCTCCTCAAGCCAAGTGAGAGGCCAATCCGCGCCACTGATGTCAAGCGGAATGCCACGAGGACGACGAATCCCGTCTTCTTCCCACTGTATCTTGTTGCCGAACGACGACTTGGAAGGGAGCTCCTCGATTTTGGCAGACTTGAAATGAGCCATGGCGGCGTGGAAAAAAGCATGGGCATCTCCCCGGATGCGACTTGCCAGACTTAGCAGATGGCGCAGAATCTTCGGCGGAGTTGAAGATGGGAGGGGAATCAACCCGACGTGCGGGGGCTCCGGGAATTCCGCTACACTGATATTGACGCAGTAGAGACGCTTGTCGTCGAAAGCATCCGGCAACGGGTTTTCATCCGCAGGCATACCTGTAGCCACCGAATCCTCTTTCCACCAGAGATAGACTAGAGTTCGAAAGAAAGCAGAGGTATCTGAGAAGAAACCCCGGTCAGGCTCCCGGATGCTACTCCCAGTCTGAGGTTCAATACACGGGTCCATGATCCTTTCAACAACCTTTGGAAATATTCCAGTCTTATCGCTGAGATAGTCAGACACAGCCGGTGAAGCTTGACACAATTGATGCAAGGTCGACAAGTCAGGCAAGTTGAACAGAACTTCTTCAAGACCAAACCATGGTAAGCTTCCGAATGGATCTATGATCGCTCGTGGTTCCGAGATACTGCACTCTGTAGAGAAAGACGAACTCAGGTTTGAGACTGAGGGAACGGAAGGTTGATGGATGTCAATTTGGGTCTTCATAGAAGAGTCTGTGATGTGCTGATTGACATCAGGGGAAGTAGGTGACCAGTTGACAAGTCGAGTATCCATATCGTCTTCGCGAGGGACATCAACTGCCCAGACGTCTAGCTGTGTGTCCACGGTCTCGGAGGAACCTGCGATGTCGTGATTTGCATCGGGCAAAGCGGAGGATCTGTGCGGGCCGTGTGGAGACATCTTGACTCGATTTGAGGAGTGCTGGGTTAATGAAGATGTGGATGTGGGTGAGTATGTGTAGACAGAAGGATAACTGTATCCTCAGGCTAGCTTGCAAATGGGTAGATGGGTGAAGATGAGTAAAGATGAGTAAAGATGAGTGAAGATGGGTGAAGATGAGTAAAGATGAGTGAAGATGAGTGAAGATGAGTGAAGATGAGTGAAGATGAGTGAAGATGAGTGAAGATGAGTGAAGATGAGTAAAGATGGGTGAAGATGAGTGAAGATGAGTGAAGATGATGAGTGTAGATGATGAGCGTAGATATGATGAGTGTAGATGATGAGAGTAGATGATGAGCGTAGATGATGAGAGTAGATGAGTGTAGATGGCTAGTATCCGATGAGGTCTGTTAGATGAGGTCTGTTAGCGTATGGATTTTGAAAGTCCAAGTGAGAGCGCGATACCAACCTTCAGGAAAAGCAATGTAGCGAGCTGTCTCGACTAGACCGAGAAAAATGATGTCCGAATTCGGACTAAGAACCTTATTCGAATGATATCGAACTAGCAAGAGAGGAAAAGATTGAAGAAAATGATGAAGTGAAGTTATGAAGGAAGGCGAGGTGGTGAAGAAGGAAGATGGTGAGTGGTTGTCGACTGGGCTTTTAAGTGAGAGAAGGTTGGCGGTTCCCATTGAGGGAGTAAGAGACTATTGTCACATTTGCTATTCTGATATTCTATTGTGGCCTACTTCTGCCTACATCCACTGACTTTATTAGGTATTAGGGCAGGACAGTCCAAAGGGACCAACCCCAGAAAAAAGGACGACTTGGTCGACATGTATCCATTAGATTAATCGGTATAGGACTCCTTATGGTCGAATACAGTCACCTACAGCTCCTCTGGCTTCATTGTAGACATATCCATTGTGTAGACAAGTCCATTGGTATAACTAGTCCCGGGTGCGTGTCAGATGGTCTCATCTTGCGAATAGACAGGTAGCTCTTAGATCTCACTGCAAAATCCAGCCAGTTACCACTCTGGGATATTCATTTTGCTACTTCAAGAGGCATGTATCATGCTCTATATCAAGTGCTTTGGTATAGCGACGGCATGGCGGAACATTGAATACTACTTACTATTAGTTAGAGACGGCCACCCCTGTCATTTTCATTTTCAGTTAAGTGAATTTGCACTCTGCACAGTCTTCTTGTCCATTTATAACAGTTACTTTTGCTTTCCATTTTATTGCCTTTCTTCCTATATAAAAAAAGGAAGATTTCCCTTCTCTTCGAGGGTGCTTGGTGATTTGTGGGGAAACAGACCGAGGCGTGGGAGATGAGCTCGGAGTAATACCAATACACTATCTCAAGGCCGGAGGTTCAAAATCGGTGATCATTGGTTGAAAGTTCCGTGGTTCTGCAACACTAAGCTTTTTATTGGCTAAAATAGCCGTATATTGTAATATTTATTTCATAGATTACTTAAATTACCAGATCTATGAAACGGAACATTTTCAATAGAAAGAGTAATCTCTATTCCAGTTGGTTTTTCGTCGATATAACTAGAAAAAAGACGGAGAATGTATCGGAACAAATCCAAAAGAAAAAAAAATCAAAATCATAAACAAAAACAAACCCAAGGGTGTTGATATATGACCCCGAAGTTAAGTATAGGTGACATCAACTCCGCAGATCCCCGCTTTAAGCAATGGAGCTTCCCCTTCGACGATTACCATCTCTCTCATTTCTTAACGTTCTCATTACACACATATTCGGTGCTTCTCGGACATAGAGAGCAATCACCATTGATTCACCAATTCGAGACACCGATACTCGCCCCCACTAGGACTGTTGAACTGCTCCCTTTTAAAGGCATCTCCAATTCCCCAACCTCTAGCTCCCCGCACTCCCAATAAAACTTTCTCTATATTCCCCTTTTTCCCCTCTCTCTCTCTCTCTCTCTCTCTCTCTCTCGCTCTCGCCTTGATTTTAAAATGGACCGCATCATCCGCCCCGTCGCCCGCCAATTACTGAGACCCCGGTCGAGATATCCCTTTTCCATTCCCCCGACTGCACGTGCACAGAGACTATACAGCATGAAACACAGCGCGCCGCAGGTAAGATCTGCAATTGAATGTGTTTCTTTTTGTGGTTTATACTGATGGACTATAGTTAAAAGATCAGTCGCTGTTCATTGAGAAAGCGTACATTAATGGGGAGTGGGTCGACGCGAAGTCCGGCGAGACTTTCGAAGTCCACGGTAAGTACCAAATTGAACATTCAGGTTCAGGTGGATGACTGACTTCGTGTCTCATTCAGATCCGGCCACTGGCAAATTGATCGGAACATGCCCCGAGCTCGATACATCCGATGTTGAGAAGGCGATTCAAGCCGCCTCCGAAGCCTTCCCCAAATTCCGCACAACACTAGGCCGCGAGCGTGCGCGCATGCTGCGCCGATGGTACGATTTGATGATGGAGAACGCAGATGACCTAGCAAAGCTGATTACATGGGAGAACGGAAAGCCCCTTGCGGATGCGAAGGGCGAGGTGAACTATGCCGCCAGCTTCTTCGAGTGGTTCAGTGAGGAGGCACCCCGCACATACGGCGACACAATTCCCGCCTCCGTCCCCGGAAACCGGGTTATTACTGTTAAGCAGCCTGTTGGTGTGTGCGGTCTGATTACGCCATGGAACTTCCCCGCGGCGATGATTACACGGAAGATTGGCCCTGCCCTGGCGGCGGGCTGCACAGTCGTGGCCAAGTCTCCCCAGGAGACGCCCTTCACGGCGAACGCAATTGCTGAGCTTGCGCACCGGGCTGGAATTCCCAAGGGTGTTGTTAACTTTGTTACTTCGTCGAAGAACACCCCTGCAGTGGGCGAGCTCATTACCACCCACCCCGAGGTGCGTAAGGTGTCATTCACTGGCTCGACTAACGTCGGCCGCATCCTCGGAAAGCAGTCTGCGTCTACCATCAAGAAGGTCTCCTGGGAGCTCGGCGGTAACGCACCATTCATCGTTTTCGATGACGTCGAGGACCTTGACGCTGCCGTGATGGGTGCCATCAACTCCAAGTTCCGCAGCTCTGGCCAAACCTGCGTGTGCGCTAACCGTCTCTACGTTCAAGAGGGCGTGTATGAGGAGTTTGCCAAGCGCTTTGTCGAGAAGGTCAAGGACTTCAAGCTCGGTGGTGGTTTCGAGGACGGCATCACCCACGGACCTGTCATTCACGAGCGCGCCGCCAGCAAGGCCCACGAGCATGTGCAGGATGCTACTTCTAGGGGCGCTCAGATTGTCGTTGGTGGGCAGAAGGCTACCGCACTCGGACCTAACTTCTACCACCCCACTGTTCTGACCGGCATGACCAAGGATATGCTTCTCGCTTCCGAGGAGACTTTCGGCCCCGTGGCTGGTCTTTTCCCCTTCAAGACTGAGAAGGAGGTTGTTGACCTGGCTAACCATGCCGAGGTTGGTCTCGCTGGGTACTTCTTCAGTGGTAATGTTCGCCGCATCTTCCGTGTTGCGGAGGCACTGGAGGTCGGCATGGTCGGTGTCAACACTGGCCTGATTAGTGATGTTGCCTCTCCGTAAGTTTAAAGCTCCCCTGCGACTGGTATATCAATCTCTAACCTTTCTATAGATTCGGTGGCGTCAAGCAGAGTGGCTTCGGTCGTGAGGGCAGCAAGTATGGTATTGACGAGTTCATGACTATCAAGAGCATAACTTTCGGTGGCATGAGTCAACCTTTGCAGGAGTAAAAATTGGACACAAATCACCTATCCTACTTGGGAACTATATATATCTCTTAACATTTAAAACCTGCCACACATTTATATAAACATTTTCCTCTTTTCCTCTTTTACAATTCCATACTTTCTAATATCGTAAAAAGTAATGGTTGGTTGTACACGCTAGATATACCGTATAACCTTCCAATATCACGGTAATTTTCATAGGAAGCCAAACAGCGTTCTGTTGACACCCCGGTCCGTCGCATATAGTAGCAGATCACCTGACAGTGTTCGGCATAATGCCGACGGCAGAAATATCCACTGTCTCACCGCCCTCTATATCCCTTCTCCTACAACAGCAGATCAGGATCTCTATCACCATAAATGAAAAGATTTTTAAGACGCGTGCAATCTTTTCTTCCGTACTTAAGGCCATAATTTGATCTGATCCAATGCGTCCATCACCCCGTTTCCTCGCCGCAATCTCGCGCAGCCAGCCCTCCAAGCTGAAGAAACCTTCCATCAGTCTAGACCATGTAAGTAACTATCAAGGTTTTGGTTTGCAGTATATAGTTATATGTACTAACTGAACCGTACAGTTTATCCAAAGACAGCGTGTGTTGTCATTTTGGCGGGAAATCGTGCGAGCATTAATAAGTACGCTTCACCATCCCGACCACCGAGTTATGTATGAGAACGAGAACTAACAGACATCATGTGCTCAGAGGTCCCTCCTTCGTCGACAAGGACTGAGCTGCACAAATATGCACGCGATGAGTTCGAGCGCCATCGTGGAGTATCGGATGTGGTAGGTTGATGTTGTTCTCGGGTCTATGGGAATGTTCGTATTCGAGAATACTTGACTGACTTTTTCTCGCAGCAACACATAAGATACTTGCTTTCGGTATGAAGATGGAGATCCAGTGGTTTTTTTTGATAATTTTATTTTCACAATATGGATTGCTAATCGGCTCAAAGACAGGAAAGTCAGAATTCGAGACGATGAGACGCTATATCGATGAACAGATCGCTGGGTGACCTGTGTTGGTAGGCTTTTACTGTAAATATATTTTCTGTGTTAAATCAATCATTGTTTCAAGAATTGGGTCCAGAGTTAAGTTGGACCGGAGGTATTTGGTTGTATGTTGTACTGCTCTCATCCGGTTTGGAGTCTTTCTATTGGGAGATTTCCAGAAGGGCTATGCAGAACATAACGAAAGACCAAGTATTGCGTTTGGTTGGATTGGTATGACCTTGGCGAATACATAATCTCTCAAAACTATCGGATTGACGAGAGATTTCTTGGAAGGAGGTTCCCTGTTATGGTATCTGAGGCTCGGCCCATTAGAACGGGATGCCAAGTTTTTCTTTTTCTTTTTTTTTTTTTTGGAGAAGCCGAGGGTATCCTCATCTTTCCGCATTAAGATGGCGTTTTAATAGAGAAATCCTCGTATTCGAGTTAAGATATAAACTTGGCGGGGTTGACTTCAAGACTTCAAGTCTTCAATTTTGTTCAATAAACTCGTTGATCTGGTGAAGATATATGATGTCAGAACTAATCCTTAATCCCAGTTTCATCTTGGCCATTAAATTTTGAAGATATGGAGATGAAGATGTACAATATTTTGCCACCTCCACATACAAACTCTTCAAGTTGTATCTTCCAAGTTCCATGTGGACCATCGACGATTGGATGATAGAACCGGAAACGGCTGCCGGGTTACAGCTGTTTGGAGGGTTGCTTTTTGCTTTTTAGTTTTTTTTTATATATCCTGTCTACTTAAGGTATATCCTGTCTAGATCCTGGACACAAGACGTCATTGATTTTGGTCCAGACTCTTGTTATATATGTAGGGCTGATTCATGGTGAGATTTTCAGGAATTATTCTACTGACTTACTTGTACTTGGAAAAAAATATCAAAAATCCTGTCTATTCCTTCATTCATCACCAATACTTTCACAATTGGTATTGAGACAAAACCACCAAAAAAAAAAAAAAAAAAAAAAAGGACCATGAAATCCGTATCACCTACCTCACCCTCCCAACCCGTCAGCCCCGGGCGGGCAAAGCACCTCGAACGAAACCGAATCGCCGCCAACAAATGCCGTGAAAGAAAGAAGCGAGAACACAAGCAAATCGAACGTCGTCTCACGGACGAAACCGAAAAGAAAGACATCCTCCTAGCCCAATTGAACTGTCTCCGCGAAGAAGTGTGGAATTTGAAAAACCTCATCTTCCAACACGCCGATTGCCAAGACCACCAAATCAACCACCAACTCGCCAGGATGACCCAGACCATCCTACAAAGTCCTCCCAACCAGAATTCGACTTCCAGCATGCCAACCGGTTCATCGCCTACATTTTCAACTGGGACCTATTCCGATGGCTCGGTCGCAGATGATGCGGGTGTCAATCCTATCGGGCCGGGCGCATACAACGACGATTGGACGGTATTGCCTGCCATTGCGAACGATTTCTCCCCTTACGAGTCGCATGGTTTTGTTGCCGATTCCTTGTTTGAAAACTTCATCAATGCCGACAATGGGTATAATTAAGAATTGGCCTTCTCATTATTATTTTTGGAAGGCTGTTCTGTTTAGCGTTGGGCGTTTTAACTTCAATTTTGTATATTAATCTTAGGACCGTGGGCCCTGCAGCTCGAAGGAGCTTTAACAAACACTCTTATTGGAAACTTTTGATTGTTACGAATCAAGAATCAAGAATCAACGAATATACGAATCTGTCCCATGACATGCATACTATTTGCGCATCATATTCCCAAAGAAATAGAATACTCGGAACGGATACTCCCATGACGCTGAGGGGTATGCTATATTGTGACCAGTTCGTGACCAGTTCGTGCAGAAAGCCCCTGAAGTGATAGTTTGGATCGGGGTAGATACACATGAAGATCCACAAAAACAAAATGGAATGTGGAAGATGCTTCTGTGTATCTCTGTGTGTCTGTGTGTTGTGTTCTGCTGTGTCTTGTGTTGGGCGCGTTGGAGATGTGGAGAGATCCACAAAGCCGCTGATGTCACTACCCGAGGGCTCTGACGGCATCGACGAGGGTATATTTTGTGCATCTAGTGACTTATATATTGGCAATGTATTTTCTTTGGGATTTCCTATCATTCTTCACTATATCCTTATATGCTCATACGCTTATACGCTTATATGTTTTATCTCTGTACTATAGTTCATCTACTTCTATACTATCTCCGATGATGCCCAAGGCCTTACTTACACCACCCTACGGGGACCAAATGGCAACCTTCTCCCAAAAATCAGTAATGGGTACAATATTCGAGACAACGGAACGGTTAGAACAGCCAAAGTCGGTAATACACTATATTGTGTGTGCTAAGACTATATGAAAACCAGCTATACGGAATGGAAACCTATCGGGCTTGGAGTATCTGGGGTTGTCTGGTATTAGTTCCCTGGCCTTGGAGCAGACCATAATCCAGCGAAACTAATAGTGACTCCTCGTATAGCTCTGCAAGGGATCAGCTTGCTCATCTCACTGTCGCCGTGAAAAAACTCGCGGAACCATTCAAGACACCCGCTATTGCAAGACACATGTTTCGGGAAATTAAATTACTGAGACAGTTGCGACATGAAAACGTGAGCTTACCCATGGATAGTACATATGAAATAACTGTCTAATTCTCCGCCAGATCATCAACCTGACCGACATCTTTATTTCTCCCTCGGAAGACATGTACGAAGAGACTAACACACCACACCTCTTCACGTGAATTGAAAATACTGATAACTTTAGATACCTTGTGACCGAACTTATGGCTACCGACCTTAACACAATATTGAAAGCGAAAAGAGTTGAAAACCAATTCGTCCAATACTTCATGTATCAAATAATGGTTGGTGTCATCCAATACCAACCCCACAGCAAGCACGATCTTCTGACCAACAATTCCAGCGTGCTCTGAAATATCTTCACTCGGCCGGTGTCATCCACCGAGATCTAAAACCAAGCAACATCTTGGTCAATGAGAACTGCGACCTGAAAATATGCGATTTCGGCCTGGCCCGCATCCAAGAATCCCATATGACAGGCTATGTTTCGACGAGGTACTACCGCGCACCGGAGATCATGCTCACATGGCGAAAGTATAACGAAAAAGTCGATATATGGAGTGCCGGATGCATCTTCGCGGAATTACTTCTGGGCAAGCCTTTGTTCCCAGGGACGAACCATATCAACCAGTTTTGTGTTATCACCGATTTACTCGGTAATCCCCCGGAGGAAGTCATTAAGAATATCACAAGTGAAAATGTCAGTCGTTGACAAGCCATACCCATGCCTTTTTGAAAGGAGACGGGGTTGCTAATTTCCTTCTTATTTCCCTTTTCCGCAGACATTGAATTTTATCAACTCACAACCAAAGCGAGAGCGCAAGCCAATATCACAACTCATCCCCAGCGCCAACGCAGATGGTACGTTTTCAAGCTATTCCAGAAGAAACCAAAAATATTAACAAAATCAGCGGTGGGATTGATTGACAGAATGCTTCAATTCGACCCTCAAGTACGAATCTCTGCGACAGATGCCCTCGCTTCCCTATATCTTGCACCATACCACGATCCCAACGATGAACCGGTTGCAGCGGAAGCATTCGACTGGGCTTTCCTCGAAGCAGATCTCCCAGCCGATATCTGGAAGACTATCATGTTCGTCCTGAATACAGTACAGCCGACGCGTCTCTGGACATTCTGCTGACAATAGTATTTCTAGGTACGGCGAGGTGGTGGCATTCCACGCCGAAATGGACAAATCTGGTCAGAGCGGGCCGATGAAATCAATACAACAGGTGGATGGAATGGATATCGGTTGAGCGACAATCCATATATTTCAGGATTGAGGGGTTCAGGGTATCTTGGTTATTTTATGTTCGTTCAAGCCTTTTGTTGATTATGCGTTTTAATGTTAGGGTACATTCCTACATTCATGAATCATGATCAAAAATATCAAATTTAATTTAGTTCAATTGCTTTTGACGGTGCTATAAATTAAGTTGCACTTCGGGATGGGATAAGAGAAAGAGTGTAAGAAACAGATTATGGTATTAACATTAGGTCGATACATGACCAGACCATTTCTGGCATTATCAAGAAATCCGGGCATAGGCATATAAACAGGGTCTTGCATGTGTTCATCAAATCAACCAAAGTGGGGTATCGCTTTCATTTAGGAAACTCGACCGCGTGCGTATCATATCTTGCAAGTCATTGTTGCAAGTGTCATTGGTAAAACATACCCTGAGAGCATGGAGATACCCATCTAGACAACGGCATCGGCGGTTGCGGGAGTGCCAGTGGCATTAGCATCAGTACCAGTCATCTCCGGGGCAGCATCGTCGCGGTGGTTCTTCGCGTTGCGACGAGAGTTCTTCAGGTCTATGATGGCGAAGGTGTTCGTAACAACGAAAGTAGCCCTGTTCAGAACAATATATCAGATATTGTACGTATGTATTTTATAAATACTTGGACGTCCGATCTTACCATTGGATAGCCCCGACGACAATCAACGCCTGGAGGGCGTGGCAGCTGGCATAGTGACACGCGCCAGGCGAAGGAATCATGGCGGCCAGGGCGATCCAGCCGCTGAGCCAAAGGCCGCCGGTGAGCAGCTCGATGAGAGGAATGGCGATCTCATGTGAGAAGCGAGGAAAGCGGAGAGGTGCGAGGCCCAAGTATGGGATTGCGATGGCTGTTGTCCAGCAGCCGTTGAAGAGCATGTAGTAAACGACATTTGAGTAGGACCATTCATCATACAGAGAGGCAATTTCTAGATGGAGTTAGCCGTTGTTCTGGATAAACGTCATGCGTCAAAACAAACCATATGCAGTAAGACCAATTGTGGCTAGGGACAGGATGGCCTGCACGATGCGCAATGGGTAGATCCAGGAGAGCATTTTGGATGTGGGAATGGTGCTTTTTGTTGGGTATCACGTATACAGGTGGGTATATGTAGTCGTCCTTTTGACAGGGGTATAGAGGAAAAGATTAGAAAACGAGATCTACGGTAATAGGGGAATACTATCGGCTTTTATACTCTCGTGAGAGACGGTCCATAAGGCGTCTAGCTCGTGCTCCACACGTCATGGCATTATAACTCGGAAAAGAATGTGCATTGGGGAAGATTAGCAAGAGTTAGGCTGGACGAGGAGTGGAGTCTCGGAACAGGGACTGAAAAGTTTGACGCAGGATCATTCTGATAGACCCTGGGGATTTCCAAATTAGGGTTTGGTGTCGAGTAGCTCAACTTCCCCGCCTTTGGATTATCTCCTTCCTCCATGTCTCTGACCATATTAGTCCTCAAGATGAAAAGCGCATTCATCTTGTACTTTTCTATACTCTCAAGAATTCAATACTATCATCTTGAAATCACACTCAGTGCACTTGACGGCACTCCCGTTCCGAATATGCCCTTAGTATCGTATGTTAGGTTACCGCACGGCGCTAGCCTTGTCGATCTCACATGAAAACCTCGGCCAAGCAAATAACTCCGGCCATGCTGATCTAAAATCAACGTGCTGCTTTTTCCGGTTTCTAGGATCCTGCCAAGAAGGTGGTTTACCTTGTTGTGCTAGTGCCGTGCTTGTTTGGCGCGGATCAATTGGGACATTTCAACCTCGGCATGTCGATCGTCGGACTCCCCGTACACACAGTACGACCGCAAATATGACAAGCGAATGAGGTAATCGTACTTCTGTTACTCATGCTTACACATTCTAGACAGCACAATTCATCAGTTGAATATCCAAACACGATTGGAGAATTTCGATGCATATGTACAAAAAAAGAAAAAAGAAACTCTCCTATCTTACAGAGCGTAGCCCCTCAGTCCCGTGAAATAAGAGCCCTCACAGCATCCATAATCCCAATAGACTTCTCGTCAGAAGGTTCAATCGATGACCGCGCCGCTTCCGACTGCTTGGGCGGCGCCGGTTTATTCCCAACCTCCTTAGCCGCAGCCTCAATAGAAGCGTGACGCTCCCTCCACTCACGATCCTCCTTATCACGAATCTCCAGCTCGCGCAACCACGCGTCACGCTTTTCTTGCTTCTTCCGAACTTCCAGGGCCTGGTCGAATTCCCGGCGCTGTTGCCGCTCCGTCTTGAAATACATTCCGCCGGCGACTAGCGCAACTAGTGTGAAGGCTTGTGCGTAGATACGGGCTCGGAACATTCGGTTCATTTCAACTGAGTCGCCGGATTTCATCGACCGGTAGGCGCGGTAGAGGGCATAGCATGTTGCGGCGCATCCTGTTGTAGTATATATTAGTTTAGGAGATCCCGAGGGAGAAGGCAAGGTCTTGTGCTAGGGGAATTTCGTACCAAGTGGAACGAGCGGCTCTTCCCTGAGGCGTCGTGTGAATTTTTGGACGCCGGTCTCTTCTGCAAATTGACTGCAGGACATCAAATGTTAGCAGACGGCCCTTCCCTTCGTTTTCTCTGTGAAATTTCCCGGTGCCGCTTGCGGAACACGCGGATAATGTGTGATACATACGGGTTTCCGTCGTCAAAAG